AAGGCCCCCGTTACCAATGTGTGCGGGTTGCCCGATGTCGGCTAAAGCCGAGTGCGCTTGGCACAGCACCGCGCTTGTCACCTCCCACGTCTCTTCTCTATCAGAAGAGATCCGGAAGCGCCCATAAGCTCAGGTTCGCCTCGTGAGCTTTCGCCATGGCCGTTTCTCAATCTCGAAGAGACTGAGGGTACGCCCCGAACCCAGCCAGCTTTGGTCCGCGCCGGTTTCCCGATACCACCCATGTAGGGTGGCGTTCCCCGATCCGCCACCTGGGGACGCGCCCGAAAGGAGGACTGGCAACTCCCACGGGTTTCCTTTCTATCTGTCAAATCAAATTCTGATAACTACAATTTTATTAAATTTAATTAATTGTTTATTTATAAAGTAAATAACTTTACACTACCGTATCCTTAATCGTTAAATCACTCTTTTGTTTTAAAAAAAAACGTTGCTCTTTTTCTATTGTCATTTGTTTATCAAAATTCAAAGAAAATATTAGTTTAATTTTCAATAATACAAGCCTGCTATTCACAAATGCCGTGTCCAGTACACATTCGTGTCACGCAAACAAACTTAAGGTAATTACTCTAACGAGAATGTTATTCAAGACGAAGTGATTACTTAAACAAATTACTATTGATATTTATTTCGGTACCTCCCTAAAGACGTGTTCATTTTAACGCTTAATTCGATGGTGTCCAGTGTGACGAACAACTAATTTAAAAAAAATCTACTGAACTAGTTTAGAAAAAAATACGTAAGTATGGCTTTACTAAAAAAAACAATTTTGCTACAAAAAATTTCGTCGTATTAATGGTTGATTAATATTTATAATTATGTCTTCGAATCAAAATTTTTTTTTTATCAAATAGTAAAATTTTATATTAAATAGAACCAGTAAAATTTAGAAATATGAGAATGGATAGAATTTCCTTAAACTAAAATATTAAAAAAAGGTAAGAGATTATTCGACTACATAAGTCTCTTGATATGAGTTTAATTGGAACAATTTTCATCTATGAAGGTTTTATGAAATAACACAATCAATATATCAGATAAAAAGACAAACAGAATGTGCGCTTAACTATTCAATAATTTGGTTATTCACCTACTCACTACTAGTTTATCAAACTTTTTTTTTATGTTATTGTAACTCTTTTATTTTATCTTACATTATATCCAGGTTAACAACTGCCTCGTGACGACGTTCTTCGTGTACAGTTTCTTTCATTTGTTCTTCACAATCGGTCTCATCGTTTTTGAGGCTATTACTGCAGGATGGATTCAACTAGGATTAATTCTGTTATCGGATTGTAAGTATATCAGACTTTGTATGAAATAAAACTCTTTTACCTTTAATTTTAGAAACAGTAACACACCATCATCCATCCTTTGCCTTTTCTTAAAAGAAACTTATAAAAGAACCGGTGCTCGTTTGCTATTTTTCCTGTCAAAAGATCTTTGTTTTCATCATACATATTATGTTACATTTGATTGATGATTCTTTATTTTATAAACACAATTACGCATCACATATAATATACAACAAGAAAAAGCTCTTTGTGTACGCGTTTATACAGCTGACAGATTATTGGTAATTTTGTGTTGTTTTAAAATAAAAACGCGTTTTTAGGTACAGACTATAAAAAGCCGTTAGTTATTCAAAAAGTAGCCATTACTCGTTACTTCGTCTACTAAGAATAAAAAATAGTTTATGCGCTACTTAAGGTTTTAATCTATTTCTGATCTATAATTCGATCCGTTCAACCGGTATGGGATTGATGCAAATGATAAAAAATTTACACATTTTAAACTAAAACTTACACTAAAACCACTTCAGAACTTTTATTGCTTATCCCAAAAATTGTTATCGACAATTTATTTAGTTTCTACGTGGCTTAGATTAAATAGGTTTTATTTGTAACGTATATTTTAACTACAAAATAGCTTTCACATGTATTTGAAATGAAAACATACATTTTATATTTGCGTCATAGAATGTATCGACTTTTTCCTTATCAGTGTTTCCACGTGAGTTGTTTCCGACACACTAACAACCACCTAATGGAGGAACCATGTAATTTGGTAGCATGAGAAAGTAGTTTACATGTTGACGAAGTAAGTCGACTGGAAATAAATGTTTAGACAACGCAAATTGTGTGACTTTGGAACACAAAGGAAATTTTGGATGTTTTATTTTACAAAATCGAAATTATATCATCAAATAAAATTCAATGTTAAATTCCTTTGAATATTTTTTTGTTTTGTATAATAATTTGAAGGATTTCTTTTCAATTATTCAGGATGTAGATTTTTCCTTACAATATGTTCTACAATGGCAACCATTATGAAAACAGTAGCTTTAAAGTTTGTTATAATTTCCACATTAACTGCCGCTCTGGGAGCTTTTACATTAATTCAACTGTCTTCAGTGAGTCCGTCAAAGAATGAGTTCAATAATGAATACTAAGCATTTAATTAGACATGCCGTTTTGAAGAGAAACGTTACGGAGAAATTTAATTAGAAATCCAAATAAGTAGCTTATTGAAAACGAATTCCTTGACTTAAATTACAAACAAAACACATTGCTAATCTTTTTTATAAGTGTGTACTAGATAAAATAATAAAACATATTGAGGATTTGAAAACAACGTTATTGACCAAATAATACTTACTAGAAAAGTTTGGATATGTCTACTAGACATCGTCTTTAAGGAACAACATCAGTTGTCGATACATTCGATAAAAATAGTTACATCTTAGGTATCCGTTAGATGTTACTTTTTTCATCAAATGGGTCATTTTTAGACTTAATCTACTTGTTTGTTAGAATAATATAAGGAGTGTATTATTTTATTTGTAACTAACTGTCGCCCGCATCTCTGCATGCGCGGAATAAAAAAAATCTTAATTAGTAGCCTATGTAATCTTCTAGACTGTTTATACATCTATGCCAAATTTCACTGAGGTCCGTTAAGCCGTTGTGGACATAACTTCTTACAGACATCGATACATCCAAACATTCGCATTTAAGTAATATATTTTTGTTTCAGTGCTCCTCATTATTTGCTTGATAAGCGTAAAATATTTGATGGAAGCAATCAAGAATGGAAACATTTACAGCAGGCCGGGAGAAGAGCTTTACAAATATTGATAATGTGATTCTGTATTCTCGAATGTGTCGATTTGATTGTGTATTTATATTTAAGTAGACATACAAAAACACACTTAACAAATTAATTTATGTGTGTGCATGGTGCTAATACGTACAAAGGCTATCACAATCATAAAGGCATTCCAAGTTCATCATCGATTATAAGTAAATTTTGAGAGACGATATTAAATATTGATTGTGAACTTTACATCTATATTATAAACCTATTTATTTATTTTTTAAATAAGAATAGCTAAAAAATTAGCCAAAAGAATTTATAATTGGCAACAATATGAAATTAACAAAAATTGTCGTTAAAATATCGACTATACATTTTCAGTTCAGTCTATCATCTGTTCAGTTAAAACGTAAGTTAGTGTGGGAACGGTACAGTTCGACTGTCAATTAAGATTGATGAGCTGGATTACTTATTGTTGTCTTTATTCCAATATTTAAAAATTAACTAACTAAGTTATTCGCAGGGTAACTTGATTGAGTATGAGATAACAGAAAAATACGACTGTTTTTCTTGTTTTTTATTTAATTAATAATTAAATCCTTTTATTAAATCTATTAATATTTACAATTTCTTGTTTTCATCCTGAGTCCCAAAAAGCTAACGCATAGGCGTTCGCATAGATCTAGCTCATAAATAAGTTTTGTGTTAGTTTATTCATAATTTTCCAGTATCGTAATACTTGTAGTAAAACATATTCTTCTCTCTATATTACACAAAGAAAATGAAAGAGACGGAAATATGATGACTATAATGTTAAAATTGTTATTATCGTGTAATACATCTATATATATATATATATATATATATATATATATATATATATATATATATATATATATATATATATAATATAAAAGAAAGTCGTGTTAGTTACACTATTTATAACACAAGAACGGCTTTACCGATATTCCTAAAAATTGGTGAGGAGGAAGCTTAGAGCCAGGAGACGGTCATAGAATACTATTTATTCTTTTTTTTTTCGAATTTATGCCTTGAAGAGCTGCTTTTTATTTAACTTAATAATGTTATAAATGCGAATGTTTAGATGGATGTGATGTGGATGAATGGATGGGTGAGCTACACTAATGAAGATTTTTTATATATCCACGCGGACGAAGTCGCGGGCGACAGCTAGTAAGACATATAATCCGTTCAAAGATCACAACACTTACACAATTAAAAAAAAATTAACTAACACTAACACAAAAATAATTCAAATAGAAATTATAATTACGCGTTGCAATGGAGAACAGTTTAAAGATAGTAATCGTTTTAAGGCTTTAGTTATTTTACACTTATAGTTGTTGTTGTTTTCTGTTGTCACCTATTTCAAAGTTCACATTTAAATTCAAGAACGAATATAAATTTTCCAAACACTGATATCTGTAGATTTTTTGTTTACCGTAGTTTGTATATTAAAGTTCCCTTAATTTCGTGATCAAAAGAGTAAAAATGAGATATAATCAAAATAGAAAACACAGACAAGTACAGAAATATTATAACTTTCTTTTATTTTAATTCTTATAAAAAAAAATAACAAATAACAAATTTAAATAACTGTCAATAACTTCTTAAAATTTATCACTAAATATAGAGAGGATATGATTAATATTGTGGAGATCGCCAAGATCGTTTTAGGAAACCGTTTCGCAATCTACCAAAAGTGATGACTGATTACGATATTAATAATTGATTATACTAAGTGTATACAAAAATGTACCTGAAGTACATATTTGTATACACTTAGGATACTGAAGAACTCTTACACATAAAATAAATATAAATGCTTTGACGACAAAATAACTATTTAATAATTTAATTTACTAACAATACTTATAAATTAACTTACATTAGAATACTGTTATAGTAAAAATAAAGAATATTTCGTTTCTATCGAAGAACTATAAGAGATAGAACAGGTCCTTAGTCCGTATCTATCAAATTTCTATCAACCGATTTGAGTTAAAATAAGAATCTATTATAGTTGTAGCATTACATTATGAATATGTATCAAAGATCACAGTCAAACAAACATTAATAATAAATAATTTAAAATTGTTATATCTATTCGTTTCTTTGTAGTCTTATGTATTCATCTAAGTGCAATGGTGGTGTCATATTTAAGTCTCTCTTGCGTCTTCGTCCAAGCATCATAGGAACAACCATAGCCATTGTCGCTGGCAACATTCCTGCACCCACTGCGGCAAAAACTGTGGAACTATCAGGCAAGTTACTTGGTACAACTTTTCTTTTTATAATCTTAGTTCTAACCGGCCTGTGTTGTGATGCCGAAGCTTCTAAATCATTCTTTTTGTCCATTTCAATTTTAGACTCTTCTACTGTTTGAAAGCTTCGTTCTACTTCTAATAAACCACCGTGTGAAGTTGTCATATTAATACGGGTTTCGTCGGCAGGCAAAACGGTTAGTCCAACAGCTTTATGTGCCGTTATCGATTGGACATTTGTATTTTCGTCATCAGTTGGATTTAGCGATCGTTGACGCTTTTTATTTCTATAGCCCTTAGTTGTTGAAAGTAATACCCATTGACCGTCACCATAAGGTGGCCTCGAAGAACGATCATCGTCATAATTAGACATTCCACCGTACATAGTCGGACGTCTGTAAGGTCTTTTTTCTACATTTGATTGGTGCAGTGCTTCATAGTCATGTGGGAACTTCGTCGGTCTAGAATCAGTCACTATTGTATCGGGCATTTCGTAATATACCGAATCTTCACTTGGGTAATTATCTACTGAATCACAGTTATGCTTATGAGGACGGCGACTCTCATCGGGTGCCCATGAAGATTGAAAATGTGTGGTGTGTTGTTGCGGTTTCGTCCATGTTGGTTTTGATGGTAATTCTGAATCATATTCAGTTGGTAAATGCAGTTTATTATTTATATAACCTGGACGATTTAAGCTTGGTCGTTTTTGTTGGTAATTGTAACTCATGTCCATTTCGTGATTGGATGTGAATTTATCATCACTAGGAAAACTGTCTTCGTCGTCATTCCACGAATTGGGTTTTTGTTTTTTAACATTCGGTTTCCACTTTGATATTTTGCTGGTAGACCACGCCACTGGTTCCAATGTCACCCATCCGTCTTTATCATCAAAAGGATGTTTGTGTTGTTTCACTTTTAATCGATTCCAAGATGTATATATTTTGCCACTGTTGTCATCGTCTATATTTTCGTCCTGTAATAATGAAAATCTATCCGCAAATAATTTATCTTTTTTCAACTTTGCCGCTAATGCACTAATAGCTTGAAGACGATCTTTTGAGAAGTCGCGATAATCCCTTAGCTTGTCTAGGTCTTCGTTCACGTACATGTCTTCGACATCATCCTGAGGGCCTATGCTTTCATCGAATCCTTCTTGACAGGACGGACCGAAACAACGGGGGCGATTGCCATTAAAATCATGAACAATATGCGTCATTAGATTTTTAATTTCCACATCTTTGTTACTTATTTCTTCATGAGGATCCCACTTTCGACCTAAATTTGGAACTGGCGCCGTCTCAAATATCGTAATCGGATCTTTTCCTGGCACATCCAATTGATAGGTTTTTGTTTTATCGTTATATTTTTCTAGTTGTATTGTATGATCGTCCGGATTAGACGCGGCGAGGTTGAAAATGCAAAAGGCAAGCAGTAGCACTATCATTTTCGTTTGGTTATTTTCACTTTCTTCGGTTCGCGTGTCTGCGGCGTTGCGAGGCGGCGCGGCGCGGACTGTGCGCCGGCGCTGGTTGCAGCCCGCTGTTATACTTCTGATTGTAGATGCACAATAACCCTCACTGCTCTCTAATGCAGTGGTAATTTCAGTTTAGTCACGACGAATGGACGATATAATTATGTGGCGATTGTCGTTTGACGGCAGCTTATCTTAATTTACTATCACGTCTCTCGCGGAGCCGTGACCTACGTTGCGGTGAAAACGTTTTTCATCATGAGAAATGTTTTCTCTTGGAATATAATGGGCGAAAAGTTTCACAGGGTCAGACGTGCGTCTATGCATTTAACTGCTTGTTGTTTTATGTGTAATTAATAGCATAATAGATACCTGAGATCTTTTTCTCCATAACCAACTAGCGTCGGATTAATAACGAAGTATTTTGAACTATTATATATACTTACCAGGAAAAATATGTCCGATTTAAAAAAAATGAAAAGATCTTTAAAAATGTATTTTCGTCTAAAGCTTTGTTTCAATGCAAGAATAAAAACATCAATGCTTCATAGATTCATTATTCTTGTATTTGTACTAGCTTTGAGCCAGCTCTCTCCACAATGTGCAGCTCACATATTATCCCTATCGTGACTCGATCAACTCCGCTCTAATTGTTCCGCACACTTTTACCAACCGCTCTTGTTTCATTCCGCTGTTTTAACTATTATATCCAATACGATCATTACCATCTTTAGTATACAAGCAAATGAAAAATATTTAACGCAGCACAAATTATAACTCGATCGAACATATAAGTTTGTTTTTATGTATTTAGGTTTGTATATGTAAATACCATTGTGTCGGCCTACAGCCTAAACAACTTATCCTATTTAGAAGAATGAGACGATATTCGGTTTGACTTTTCCCCCGGAGTTTTTATATAACATTGGCACAAAATACATATGCCTAAAGGACGCAGGAAGTAAAAATCTGAATGCAGGAAAAACAAAATCTCATTTGAAATTCGAAGTCGTAAATCGAATTTCTAATTTTCGTATATGTTCTATAAAATTTCAAAACCTTAATTTAAAAGAAGACTCAATTTTCGAAATGTTGAACTTAATAGCTATTGCCAATACCTAGGTCTTGGGTGTCTATTCACATAGTATCCGGTGACCCACTAGTTTTTTAATCCCCTTTAAAAAAAAGTTTTCTATATGTAATATAGTTACGTAACATGGAATTGTTTTGTTTTTAATATATCAGTCGATCACTTTCTATTGTCTACATGTTACAAATAAAACAATTTACTCTAGAGAAGCATAAAAAGCTGCACTTAATGGAAATAGAAAGGCAATAAACAAATATGTATAAAGCGCTTAATCGCCGACGATATTATTCGTTGTGGTAGTTTTATTTTGTTTTACTTGATTGTTTTTATTATAAAACTAGAATATGTTAACATTTTTGCATACAATTGAGTATACGAATATGCATTCTAAAATTTATCACTACATATCATAACACGACTAAAGCTTAATACAAGATTAAGAATAACTCATAAACTAGACAACAGATTTTGGTCACGAACAACCTTGCCATATCAAACATTTTAATTAAACACGTGTACGATCTATTAATATGAGTAGCACGAGGTTAATGACTTTTGTATATTGACTTAGATATGTTTGTGATTGCTGTAAAATATTGTAGCATTATTTTTTTATTAAAAAATTGCATCTCCTATGACACTAATCAACTTGTTTGATACGGTTCAATTTACAGGCAATGACAAGTCATATAGTAGTTAGTACTTAATATTAGTCGTTGGTTCCTGAGACCAAAATCCTACGATTCCAGTACTGTTATCTGTTTTGTCAAAGATAATAAGAGGGATGACGATATGTAATATGAATTTTGGTATCAGAAAACAACGATAAGTCCTTTATAATTGTGTCAGAGTTATTGAACGTTGGCTCATCATTGTAACAGTTTATTTGTTCAGTTTTGAATGCGCAAAGCTAAGGGTTGGATGCTTACTGACCTATAAAATTGAGATCTCTTCAAGTCGTCACTGAATGCATTTTTTCTAGGCTAACAGGTTCACCATTCTTAGGGATTTCGACTTAAATATTAGCCTACTTTCAACATTTTCATTCTTCATTTGAACGAATATTTTTTTTGAAATACTTTATAAAAATCATTTTTTTACCTTTCAAAATTATACCTACTTCTATTTTGTTGCTTCGTTTACGTGCAATAATAAGGTAAAACTTATATTTCATTCTGCTTTTTAATGTAATGAAAGAATTTATTCTAGCGCAACTGAATTATGATAGCTTGATCATTTATTTATCATATTTTTAATATAGTACATTTCAAATCCAATATATGTATATAGATCACCACCGGCTGCGGAATCCCATGACCCAACCAACCAGTGGTCAGGGATGCAGAGACAGGAGCTTTCTCACGATGCTCTCGGTTTCTAACTGCCTTTTGTATTGGGCCCTTAATCCAGCTGTTTAGCGAGAGCTTCTTGAGATGTTGGTCGAAGCTCTTCATAGTGTAAATAGCTTGATTATTACTATTTATTTCGTACTTAGATTATATTTTGTCCATCAACTCAACTATAAGTTATCTCTAATAAATAAAAAGTGATAAAAGTTTGATTGAATTCGTTCCTGTCAATAATTAATTGATACAAAAAGGGGTAATTTAATAACAATCGACATGTAAGCTATTGACCAACTGTTAGAAATGTGACAATGAAACGGCTATGTAAACTGGTTCGTTGACCTACTACAAAATGCAGCTGTAATGCAGCGTTGCTAAAAAATGTACAAAAAAATTACCATTATGTCTTTTTTTTAAACCCAAAGATGTAAGAAAGTGATGTTTTATTATCTTAATTATAATAATTGTCATACCAAGATTAGCAACTAATGCTATTACACCAATGGACTCGGGTACCTAAGTTAGGGGTGACAACGCCATAGTTGCAAAATCACGCTGGCCCATTTTAGGTTGGTTGAAGTCACACATTGATCCGTGTAGATTGTTCAGGAAAATCTAAAACCCCTGGGCGTATTTATATTTGTTACTACGTAACTTTTGGACAGTATTAGCTAAAAGAATGTGTCGCGAATGACGTGCTTTCGTTACAAAGTGCAGTGTCAGAATGAATAGTGAGGGGACATAAACGTCGATTTTTTTAGTAAGGCTAGTGTTGCGTCAATATACTGGCACATTTTTTGGATTTTCTTCCTAACACTACAGAATCGCTAAACGGATCCGTATGAACTGTTGTAACAGATAGTTAACAATTTGGAATTAAGCATAGGTTGCTTATCGTTTTTAGATTGTTTTATTTACATGCGGACAAGGACGCTGGCAACAGCTACTTTTATAGTTACAACAAAATGAATGAACTTGCGGTAATTGGATTTTACGTATTTTCTTTTGATGGTAGCAAACGTAATGTCCCTGTAGACTCGGTAACGGTGCCCTGTGATAATGTAACGCCGACTCTCATTTAACGCCTGACGATTCCTTTATGCTTTCTAAAAACTCTCCAAATTGAATTCGTTGACAATTTCTAAATATGATTTCACTTACAATTCCATTATTGTTTGTTATTGTGGATTTACACTAGCGTTCCTCATTCGTTTTAAAACATCGAATTTTTATTAAAAGTAGAATTTTGACAAAAAAAATGTAAATTTCTTTAAATCAATGATTTACTAATTTGTTTTTTTATTCAGTTAATATTAAATATATTTATTGTAAAGCTTTTATTAATTTTTATATTTTAAAAGTGCCTGGAAAATCCTACGAAAGCCTCTTTGATACTTATAAGAGTTTGAATAATTCATTTATTTTGTTTACATAAAAGATCTAATTTTGTGTAAGGATAAAATAATATTTTAACTGCGCTACAAGAATGTCCAACATAAAAGAGCACAAAGTAATATTTGTTACCTTTTGCTTTCGTACGGAAAGAATTTTAATGAAATTTAAGGCGCCCGTATTTCATCAAAATATTTTCACGAAAATTACTGGTACACTTTATGCCTTTTAGCATTCCTATAAACTAACATAACTGGGTTGGTAGTAAATTTTAAAAATTGTAAGAGCTACACCTGTGTAACTTTTTTTAATCTTACATAAAAATTGTATAAAATCATCAGTTGTCCCTCTTATTCTCTTTCAAAAAACAGAGAAAACAGTATTTAATATTTGACGGCGATAACGGCTATACCTGTTGCCTTGGATAATTTAAGCATAGTGTAGTTCTATCATAAATTGTTCGCATAGACTAGTAGAAGTAAATATCTTAATAATGTTGCCGGAACTCTGCCATTACGAATGTCGTCACACTTACCAAATACAATTGCATCACGCCGCTAAAGTTCGAAAGCGTAATTGACGGTAAATGTTATAAGAGCAAGACAAAAACACTTTCCTTGTAATAACAAAACGGTGAACATCTAACAAAAAGTTATAGAACATAAAAACTATGGAGTAGTTATGATTTTTTTAAATCATAGCTTATGCTCGTTACTCCCTCAGCGTGGAATACAAAAAAATTATTAGTAGCCTATGTATTCTACCAGACCATGTTCTATATGTAAGCCAAATTTCAGCGAGATCAATGAAGCCATTCTAAAGATACCTTGTAACAGACATCCGTCTGAACTTTCGCGTTTATAATAATAGTACGATTTCAAGCGATATCCGTCCACGATACATATAAAAAATATTTGCCATCGTTACAAAAACTATCCACATCTTTAGCAAATTTATTAGATTCGTTAAAAATCACATATGAGAAATATTTATTAAGCAGATAAGCGACTGTTCTCACTAATTGTTGACACAATTATAGCAAAATACAAACAATCGTTAGATAATATGCGTATGTTTGAGCGTTTGATTATGTAATCTAGATTAACGTTGTTATGTTACGCTCACTATAGCTAATTTAGTAACATATTGAGCCATGTAGATTGGATGTACTGCTGAAAAGATGTATACAATTTGTAACATTTCAAATATCATTTTCCAACTGAATTCACTAATATTGTCTTCTATTTTTAATTTCGTAACTCTTAAGGTTTAGTTCTATTTTCAAAAATATAAAAAAAAATTTATAAAAAAATGATAACCTCTCCATAGATTTATAATCTTGGCGGTCAAGACCCGGTTTCACTTTCTGATACCAAAACATTTTCACCGTTCGCTCTCACGGTCCCGCGCAGCGATCACGAAGCTCGGAGAAATGACTGCGGATCAGAACGCGTGCGCGTACGTTTTGCCGCGCTTTTACATCTGTCATGGCGCACGCTTTGTAAAATGGCGCCAAATTATTAAAACAAACATAAATCTATAAAGATCACTTACAGTTAATGCTAAATTTATAGTATCTTACTCATGTTAGTCCGATTTATTTAAAACAAAGTAATATAAAGACTTAATTCCTTTAAACTTTAAATTAAATTCTTAATTTACTGAGTGAAGTGTTCATATTGGACATTTCTTTCCAAATAAGGTATACATTAATCTTTTTATTTTATCATTACTTAAGAAGTACTAAGGTAAACTATGTTTTTTTTTCAATTGAATAACACTGACATCTAGAATATTATATTGAATCTAGTACAAAAACTAACATCATAACTAAGCCAAGTTGTAACTTAGCTAAGTGCCATCTATGAAGTAAAAAGTAGCTTAATGCTTTTTATAACTTAACATTGTAGTTACCTCTTCATTGTATAGAGGGCACTGTCTGGCATTGTACGATTTATACTAACTGTAACCCGCAACTTTGCTAGGAATTTACGAAGTCACTAGTTTATTTTCTATTCTACCTTTGTTTCTTATCCACATCGTATCTTATTTTATAGCGAAGGTATTTCTTATATAAGCAAGGGACATTAGACGACGTTGCCCTAGTAAATGTGGCTTCAATATTATACGCGCATATAACGCGAAGTAAGCCACTTTCCTCGTTTTGATATACGTATTGTTTTGTTAGAAAATGGTAAGAGTGAAAACTCCATCGATGTAGAACATTACCCGATTGTTACCGTTTTGTAACTGGCATTGGAACATAACATTTTCTCCTTCTGTAGCATGAATACACGGACACAATAACTAGATGTATAAAAAATAGTGTCCCAAAGTAATACACACATTCTAACTGATATTTGTCAGCGGTAATTAATAATACTTTAATTTTAAAATTATTTTGAATTTGTACAATTTTATTTGCTAAAGAAAATTGATATATTCCTCTTATTTTATGGATTATTTACAATATTTTACACTTACGGTACACTTGTCTGTGATATATTTAGCTGCTTTATAAATCTCGGTCAAAGACATTACTTATGTAATACAGTCATTTTGTCACGAAAAAGTGTCATCGTTCCACATAACTATTACGTTTATGTTACGGAACTAAAGTTTGTATGCGTTGCAAAGTAACGTTGCGGTACGATTGTCAATGATTATTTATGTATTCATAATTCTTACTAAACTCTTGTAAATATATATTAATGTATTTTATATAGTATTGATCGAAAAAAATGTTATATCATTTTATAACATTGCACGTAGAGTTAGTTAGCTCTATGTAAATGTGTTTGATAATAACAAATATTATCATCATCATCAGCTCACTATATGTACGTCCCCACCGAGGGGCTCAGAGTCTACCATAAGTTAAGGGTGATTAAGCCATAGTCAACCACGCTGGCCTAGTGCGGGTTGGTTGACTTCACACAAATTTCTTCTCAGATATGTGCAGGTTGCATCAAGATGTTTTCATTCACCGTAAGAGCGTCGGATAAATGTCCATATGTAAATCGGAAATTGAAAACCACATTGGTACATGCCGGGATTCGAACCCAGGACCTGCAAATTGCAAGTTAAGTGCTTGACCCCTGAGCCACCGACGCTCTAATCAATATTATAACACTATTCTATTACTGCGGAGTGTTATTTGGAACCAATAGAACATACACCCGTATTAGGACTTTTCAGCAAATTAAAAAATATATCCAAAAAGCATCATAAAATATATAAAGAGCATAATTAGGGTGATTCGTAATAACTTTATTAGCTCTCAGAATATATATCCTTATAAATTACTCCTTAGTAGAAACAAAAAATAACGAACTAACAAGCGCATAAAATACAAAACAATGCGACAAAATGTTCTGTTGCCACTAAAATGTAACAAACAATGGCACCATTAGGAGATGTCATCGTGCGTGCAAACAAAAGACGCTCGGAAGAGATAAAATAGCGAAACGAGTAAGAGCCCTCGCAAATCCTATCGCAATCTATTGTGGAACACTACCTGCTTCCTGAACAGTATCGTCTTAGACCGGTCCCGAAATGGTTGTATTGTACGGTCTCTTGTTTTGTACATTCGCGGTCGCCGCAGAACATTCCGGAGCCTATTCCTCTCCACAGTACGCTAAGAAGATGTTCCCGAAGAAGTCTTTCGACACAAGTATACTTCTACCACAAGAGAAACCGCCGATACCATTCAATCGCGCTTCAATTGATAGATTCGATAGCCTGAACGATACGACGCAGTATGGAAGGTCTTCGTTCTTGGATTCAGCTGGTAATTTACTAAGCAACGCCGGGGGGCAGGTCGTGTCTAGTTTGGCCAAGGACTTCATAGCGAGGTCAACTGGAAGCAGCCAGGTTGGTTTTGACTGCATTACGCAGGTTCGTATCGCACCTACAATTGTAAATCGCACGCAGGAATGCATGATTTTTGCTTGTTTTGAAATATTTGTGTTGTGACTCATTGGATTCGGGGAAGTCTTTAAGGGCTTTTGTATCGTATTACTCATAGCCAAGTGACAGATGTAATGGATTTTCAACCTTAATAAAGGTGTATTTCTATAGTTAGAATATTTTTTTAAGTTTTATGCAGACTAAGTAATTCTTCAATCTAACACAGCTATTCTTGGTCATAGCTAAAGTTTAACTGGATGTCTACTCTTGTTCGGTTAAATAATTTAATTGAGTACAGTGTTTATAAAAGGTATTAATTTTGTATTGTCCAAATCGAGCATAAATTCCATTTTATCCAATTTATTGATTAAAAATTTTACTTACAGGTCCTCAGCTTAAACTTGACAAACTTGGTGATATTAATAATCCTCAAGGCACTTATTTTGGCGGCTGGTTTCTTTGGAGCCGGAGCTTGGAAGGGAAATCACTATGGACGTAGTATTGATGGTAAGACATTCTTTTTCTTATAAAAAAATAACCTACATAAATTTTAATTAATTTTATACGTTTCAAAACATAATTTATTTCATATGTTTGAACGTGATTTGAACATCCAACATCCTGGTTATCGATTCAATATATTTGTTATCGGTCCATTAATAGAGGAACCCTTTACTAAATGTCGTTTAATTAGCCGTATAATAATAACCAGGAAGCTGTTATCGGTCTCATCCACAATGACCGCATCTGCCTTAGTCCGTGCGATACAACCCTTTGTCCGCCACGCGCCGCGGCTGCCCAGTCCACAATAATCCAATACACCTCGCGATGCGTTTGTCGTGTCCACTCTATAATCCCATCGGAAAGGGATAATCCCTCCCGGTGTGCCACTGGACACCGCACTCGCCAAATGACCACCAAAAAAAATACTAGCTAATGTTAAGATCTAACACCTTTGTGATATTGATTTATGAGTATACAAATATTTTAAAATGTTTCCGGAATTGTTTTTTTTTAATTATTATTAAATCAATAGTCACATAATTAATTTACACTTATATCTATCTAATTAATCTTACTAATATTATAAATGCGAATATTTAGATGGATGGATGGATTGATGTTTGTTTAAAGTTAACTCGAGAACGGCTATATGGATCTCGCTGAAATTTGACATAGATGTAGAACATAATCTGAAAGAACACATAGGATACTAATTAAGTTATCTTAAATACCACGCGGACGAAGTGGCGGGCGATAGCTAGTAATTCATAAAAATCAAATCTAAAATCTATTAGAAAAAGTTAAGTATGATAAATCTAAACTAAGCGGTGTTTAAGCCATTAAATTGCTCTGACTGCGTCTGTTTGCAATTTAATATTCATGTAATACCTCTATATATGCCTTTCCATTTCCATGTCCAATATTGATGATATGACAATTCTTCTATCCGCAGAGAACAAGAACGCGACATACCTCACGGAAGATGAAGTACTGCTTTACCTGAGCTACCTGCGAGGCGAGCAGAGCAAGGATTACGGCTGTCTGTACCGGCTTGCCTGCCAGAAGCCCCGCCAGGGGGCGCTGTACGCCTCCGCTGCAGAACTGACGCTGCAAGGAGCTAAACTATTGCAAGGGTAAAAATGGCGCTTTTGTTTTGTTTTTAAAGGGAGAAAACTTGATCGTTAAAAATATACGGCGTGTAGGAGAAAGAGACGATTGCTGTAAAAGATTCTTTCTCGGGACAGTACGGGTACTTTTAAAAAATACATTTGTGAAGAAAAGACTAGTGTTACATAGTATAAGCTCAAGAAACATCAATAAACTTAAAGTTATTAAAAATTCTGGGGCATTGAAGTCGACTAAATAGTGTTGGGCTGAGCAGAATATATTTTTATATACCAAAATCCATTATTGAAAATTTGTATAAAATTGATTAGTAATATTAGAAACGCGACTAAAGAACTTGGTTTAGTTATTAAATTATGTCAGAATTAAATAAAGAAAAAATATTTTCAGCAATAACGTCGATTTAGATGATTATGAAAACATCTACAGCGGTATAAAGCAAGCATCAACGTGGGGAGAGGACGGCAAACCCTGCGACAAAATTTATAAATGCGCATAGTAATTATATAAATAAAATTATTTAAACATTATTGGTTTTTTAATGTTATTTAAGAGATAGTAATACAAGAAAGATCAGAAAGGAATTTCTACCAATTTAAAGGTTTAAGCAATAAATTTTGTACAAAAAAAAATTGTTTTTAATTCTTTAACCAACCCAAAAACTTTCGATTTTTTTTGTATACATCACTTTTACTGTTTGAGCAATCCCTAAATTCAACTAAAATTTATTTAAAATCTGCAGATATTTGACATGTCACTGTTTAACCGTTCTTTGTGACATACTTTTGTATGTACTATAAAACACAATAATGTTAAGTCCATACACATATATCCTGTATTGAGATAATATTGCACTTTTCAATCTCTTTTAAACAGAGATACCGATATTTTACACATGTTTATTATGATATTATTACAATAGTTTTGCGGTAAACAAGTGCAATTAATTATCAGCGAGAACTCTGTGAGTTCGATGGTCTGTGCTGCGGGCACGTGCCGCGCGGTACTCCGCATACGACACATAGCCGTCGCCATCCGTGTCGTCCACCTCCAGAGTTCGGTCCACTAGTTCTGAAATGTTAACAAGGAAGTATTTTCTTTTAATAAACAATCCGACTGTGTATACGATACTCTAGGGACATACAATTGTAAATAAACATAACTCTACAAAGTCGTTTAAGCAGTTTAGACTACATACGTTACTGGAATTTAACGAAAAATATGGAATTTGTTTAAGTTTAAGCGAGAGAGGTGTGTCAAATAGTGTGTGTTGTGGTTTTAATTTTAAAAGAAATGTGTTAAGTTAAGGAGGATTGAAATACAAACCTATATATGCTTCTAAATCGTTTGTCTCTGGTTCTATTGAAGCTGAATCAGCGTCGTGGTCCTCATAGTCTACCGTATGATATACTGCCTGAAAAGGATAGTATTTGGTTTACAGTAATAAAACAAAAAAAATGCAAATATATTAAGAAATAAATATTACTTTGCTTGTCGATTCTTTACTTACCTTTAATAATTCTAGTCCGTCTAATTTTGAGTTTCTGTCAAAATCGTGTGCAGAAAAGTAATGAAACTCCAGCTCTTCCGGTGTCATTCTTGATATAGCGTCAGATGTTAACATGTTTGAGTCTTCTTCTATATGTCTATAAAAGTACAAGAAATCATCAAGAATTTCGACAGCCATAAATATTATCTTTGCCTTTTTTACAAATTTTTGGGTTACGAACTTACTTAAGAAATTCATTGCCACCGACTGCATAGTTCTTTCTTTAATTAGTAGAAATCATAGTGGCACTGAATATGTAGTACATTCAGTGCCACTATGATTTCATGTTTGAGCTCATAGTCTACGTTCATTGTGCGTAGATTGAAACAGTAGTCGGTGTTTCCGTCCAATTATGACATGAGGTAACTTCAAGAGAGTGATGGCTGATGGTAATCAGTGCGTGACATGTTTACCGAAGGTTTCCAAACTCACACTTGTATAAAACGTATTTTCACACCTTTCTTCTCTTGGAAGATACAACAATATATCAAATAATATTGGAGTAACTTACTTCATATCATGTAGCACTTGACTCTCTCCAGTGAGAGACTGACCGCCTCTAGGCCGGTGGTGGTTGTGTTTGGAGGATTGTCCGTGTGGATGGTGCGGTCCGCGACGCATGCCCGACGCCCATACGTTTAGTAGCAGGATAAGAGTTACTAAAATAACATTCAAAAAAAGATTCGTAATATTAGCCTAACTGCGATAGAGTCACAAAATGGCTACTAGGGTTGTTCATTAGTGAAGGTTTAGGACAACACTCAGAGTTATGTGATCACGAACGGGACTGCTTAGTGCAGATTTAGTGAAAAATCTACACTAATTTCCGAACTGAATTGAACTGAATGGCTTGTAGGTTACCTAAACAGACATATTCAGGGCTGCCATTTCTTCGGTTTTGCACGATGCATGCATTCAAGCTACAAATTTGAAATCCATATCTTCGAGTCAGAGTAACTGGTATAAAGTAAAACAGTACGCCGCCAGAAGTATTAGGGCCTACGTTTATTGAAAATTGACAACCCTAAACATACCATAAACATGTTTCACCTTTTTTCATCGCGCACGCGTCATCAATTTAACGTAACAATCGACAAATACAGATACAATTAGAACAGTACGATCGTAGAGTACTAGTACCTGGGTGTAATTTGAAGGGCATTGTAGTCCCTTGTAAAAGGGTAAGGGAGCAGCTGGGGCTCGCCCCATGGGGCCTTGGACCGTACCCCGCAGAGACGCAATATTCACACCTCATTTCACAAGTGCCCCGGCTATTACGTTTGTCGTTCAAATACTCGTATCTTGAATTGTAATTAATTTCGAGTGTTTATTCGCCATTAAACGTTTAAATGCTAATATTTTTATCTGTACGGTAAGACGAAAAGTAGAAGAAAAATACAGACGAATTGATAAACTCCTTCTTTTTGAAATCGGCTAAAAAGACAATTTATATCGTTCGAAATACAAAAACATTTTGATGGACTATTTATTCGCCGTACAGCAGCCTAGAAAGAATTTCGCGGATATGTTAACCCGTAAAACAAAATTAACACTTAGTCATGTTCTTCTTTCCAATTTCCTAAATTATAAAGAAATGTAGGTATCGTATACTCCATCTTGGTTAAAAACTTTTTAAGACAATTACACCATTGATAACGTCATATTAAAATGTAGTTAACTGATAAAACATACTTTAAATTAATAATGAAACATGTCAAGTAACAAACAGGTGCCCAACGAGCACCCCTTACATACCATCCATAACAGTACATTTTCAATATTTCAAATGAATAATTTATTCGTTCTCGTCCCCTTCGACCTAGATCGAACAGTTGTTCTGTTGGAAAGACGAGACCAATCTTTAATCGGACCCCACTTTATTATAGAGTACAGTGTATAAAATAAAGCCATAATGGAGGACAAATTATGCGCCTGCAGTGACAAGTGCGCGCCCCGTATGTCAGGGTGTCCGGCGCAAGCGGCGTAGCAAGGAGGCGGGACACACGAACACAAAGTTTGGACAGCACTGTAAAAGTGCTACACGATAACACGCCTCTTTTAAATCTACCATAAAACAACGGTAGTCTTGTATTTGTGTGTCCAATTAATAAAATAGTAGTATATATTGCCGTACTTTAGTTACCTTCCCGTCAAATTCCCGCCAAAATCGGTCCAGATTCTGCGAACACTACCGTACAGAGGTGGACTTATGGACAGACATATAGATAGACAGACAAATATTGTTTTTTCGTTGTTAGCTTTGCCAAAACATGATGTTCGCGAAATATGATAAAATTTCGATATTACATACAGACTACAATTTTATTAATTGTATTGCTATATCACCGATCTATCCGTATGTAACGTCTGGGGTGTCGCGGCTGCGCTGCCCGTCATATTATCAACCGATAACACCCTAATACTATGCGATTACAATGCATCCCTTGTACTACGGGTCACAAATTCCTTTATTATTCGCAGCACTTTGGTTACATTTGCACCAAAAAAAAAAGAAATGAAAGAGGATTATTGTGACACATCTCAACGCCTACATGCTGGCCACAAAAAGGTCAACACGGGTTAACAATGACAGACTAAAATGTTATTATACTATTTCCTAATAAAGTCGTATTTAATGTAACAAATAATAATTATTTGCAAACCGTCTTGTATACATTTATAAGAGCCACATAGCAAAAAAAAATATTGAGAATTTATTTTGCCGACTTGCTTGTATGAACATAATAGGTCAAAATTTTAAGAATTGAGAATACAAATATTTATAAAATAAACACAGGGTCGAGTCAACAATATATTAACGCTTAAATAAAATAGCCTTTATCTGTGCGTTAAGCGACACAGAACAACGATTGCTTTTTGTCATGGGACTATAATTTGAATGAGCCTCTACCCTCTTGAAACTTCACAATCATGGTACCGCAGGTTTTATTGTTGAATATCGTCATGCGATATTAAAATTAAATCACATGATACATTGTCTCCTAAAGAATGTAAATAGTCTTAATATATCAATCGAATATTTATAGAAGTACCAAATTCATTCAGATACAATGCAACTTTGTGAAGAGATTTTTCATTGAAATTCACGAAGCTTTACTGCGTGTTAAGAAAGTCAATCAAATTGATAAAAACAAAACACTACTCACAAACAACTTTCATGTCTTGCTTCACTATCACAGAACACCTTTTGTTTTTTGTTTATTGAATTAAACATAAAAACATCTTCAGTTCACAACAACGCTTGCCAAACATGACATAAAGAAATCAATGTTACAGCGCAAGCGCTACTGATGCAATGTACTTTAAACTCTAACCAAATGGAATAAAGACTGAAATCTAATGGTGTTCAATGCAGTATTGGCGCATGCTTCGTTAGAAGTATATTGATTATGTTTCATACTTCTAGATGGCGCTGAGCGATCAGCGAGCGACTTTATCCGTATTTTGTATCTACTTACAAAATTACCAGTGTAAAAAATGTTTAAATTAATTTTATTGATATGTTCTTTCGTTTTTATTTCCTTTCTTAGTGTTAATAGTAATTTTCTTTTAAAAATGTCCTATGTCAAATTGTCTGCTAGATCACTAGCTAAAAATATGAATACTGTCAAATTATTCAAACTTTCGTGAGACATTATAATAAACTTAAATACTGTGTTCTAATTGGACATATCTGTTTATTTTAACTCAAGATTCGGTAGGTAAATAAAGTCTTTTAATTAATGAATACAGACAATATATACGAGGCATTAAAAATGGACAAATATGTACGATAGACTTGCAATAAAGCAATCGTTGATCAAGCTATTGACGCCAATGAAAGATGAGAAGGAATCCAATTTAATACAATTCACAATATTCAACATGAGCATACACGTGATTTCATTTTACGTTAGGGCTGTCTCAAGCGAGTTTTCAAACGATTAATCTATAGATAATTCAGGGATGTGAAAACATTAAAAGTAGATAACAATTATCATCTGCTTACATATTCTACTCTATCTAGGGTTGACACAAGTCCATCAATAATAACAGTCGTCACTTTCTTTTTAATCCTATCAACTTTCAAGAATCCTTGTCCTCTTTGGTATACCATATTATTTAAAGTTCTTAACAATCAGATAATATTGCTTCCCAAAAACAAATGACGAATCCGTAGCCGAAAAATAAATATTGAATAAACCTAAAAGACGATTGCAAAATATTACCTTACTAATAAATTTAGTAAGAAATATACAGTATGTTTCAAATTATATACTTTTTTATGAAGTTATTTATTTATGATTAGGAAAATGATATCTCTTTAAAGATTTTGTTATTACTTAAGATCACCCTAAACGCTTATCTGTAGTAAATATGTAAACAGACTCATCGCCCTGTTTACAGACCTCTTTTACTGTACATAGGTACGAGTAAATTTGTCAACAAATTGAAAACAGAACTCTTTATATGCTCCTCAATAACCACTCTTGAAATATTCATATAGGATTCATTTTCTTTTAACTCATTCCTGAAATAGATCTTTATTCCTTTAAAGACACGAACAGAATTTACTGGCACAACAAGGAGTTTTCGATCATAGAAAAGCTTATCTACTTTAAAATCTTTTCATACAACATTGAGTCTTCAGCAATGGAAATAAAGATTAAAATCGTTTGTTAGATGTTGAACTGAAGGCATTTTTGAAAGAGAATGTTTATGTTTATAGCGATCTGTTGTGGGGAAGTTAAAAAGAGACGGGCGTATGTAAGCGTATGAGGGATCGTATGATCAATACATCGCGGGCGGGGGTTAGCGGGGGGTGGCAGGGGGTGCGTGCGGCGAAAGCTCCCCTAATGGTCGTTTTCTTACATTTGCATTCTAATTGACTTCTCCACTCAGAACATTCCGCACTCTTCCTTTTGTCTCGTATGTGTGACGTAAATTGCTAGAAATTAGCGCCCCACACGATTGTGAAGTCGGTTAGTTTAGTGGAACAGGTCCTTAAGTCGCTCGTTAAATATACATATTTGCTATGCTAAATACTAGAGAAGAGATTTAATTTACCTGATTTATTAGGGATCTCTAAACCGTTTTGTGTTATCATGTTTTATATTAAGACTGAAATTTCACACTACCTTATACTTATAAAAGACTTAATTTAGATTTAGACGAAGTACTGAAGGTGTAGGTATATTATTACTGGTGATATTTTCATATACTTTAAATGCTTTGACTTTTACCAAGCAATTGTTGATAGTTATATTTATATGTACCCCTGAAAACACATTTGATATTACCTTCAAATTGACATATTTTCATCCCATAGATATGAAATACAGAACAGTTTCAAATAAAACAATAAATATTCGGTTTTATATATCAAACGGAGATTTGTAGCGTTGAGCGGGTGGGTGTACCGTTGCCTAGCAACCGTCTCCCCACCCATTACTCCCCCACTCGGATCACTTTTAAACTTTCATGTTGAAAAGTTTTAAGGTTTGCTTGTGGCTCTTAGATTTGCCTCCTTTTTGTTCGTAGATGACATTCTAGTATCGTGATGTTTGGTACAAATAAATTTATATTATAATAGCGGAACAATAAAACTCATTTTTACAAGTAATAATAACTAAAAAATAATAACCATTAACTGATAAACTAGCTCACTAAATAATTTTATAAAGATAACTACGAAATGTATGCAATATTTGTCTTAAAACTGAGGTATTACGATGCGTACTTTTTCGACAAACATAATTTCATTAGATTAATAACTTTGAAATTGGATACTTTTAAAATAATACAGGAACTGTATGATACAATAAAACTTTTCTTTACAACCTATTTTAAAAATCACAAACATTTTAACATTGATCTAAAAAGTATGAGGTTTTTGAATAAGTACTCGTATTACAGTAATTTATATTCTTAAAAATTTCCGAAGCATATCCTCGTAGCGATGCTGTTTTCGCTTTATTTTTCGCCGGCGGAGGAAAGTTTTCAAGTAACGAGAGTGTATCCTACAAAATTGATGAGGGAACGAAACCGCGAGCCGCGAAGCAGTCGGCCCGAAGGTGCTTTTAGCCCCTAATTGGTAAGCTTTTAAGACTACCGTTCGTTTGACATCGCTACTACGAAGTACAGTCAACAAAATATCTGAATAAAATACATATTTTTACTTTACATAATTTAATTTCTTTTCAAACGAGTATAATCACGAATCTAAAAAAAAACTTATACTAAGATAATGTTACTAATGTTATAAATGCGAATGTTTGGATGTAAGGATGTTTGTTAGAAGGTATCTCCAAAACGGCTCCATAGATCTCGCTGAAATTTGGCATAATGCAGTAGATGGTCTGGAAGAACATACATTAAGATTTTTTGAATTCCGCGCGGACGGAGTCGCACGCGATAGCTGGTTTATCTATGTACCCCAATAACTAATACATGTATTGAGCATACAAAGGTGAAGAAAAAATCTACTCGTTATGATTTTAAAATATATTTGCTTGTATTTTACTCGGAAATTTTTAAAACTAAAATATTTTATTGTGTAATAAAAATTGGCATGACTGTAGAAAATTGTATTACATATTTATCCTGACTGTACATTAGAAAATGTAGAAGCAAACATTTGTACGAAGATTTAAGCGTTGATATATCATCTGAGTATCTTTTACTTACGCTATATAGATGTTAGTAAAATGTATGTTCATTTAAAATCAAAGACGACATTCGTTTCAGGTTTGTTATTAATTTAAAGGTGGCCAAAGTTGAATTTAATGTAATTGTGTAATAAATATTAAACAACTCTTCTTAATGAAAAGACAAAAATACTATAAATGTTCCAAATAAACAGCTACTTATTATAAAAATCTGATATTCCTTTATTTATCTTTAGCGGTCGCAACTCGGTCCGCGCGGAATTAAAAAAAAAACATAATTAGTAGCCTATATGTTCTTTTAGACTGTTCTATTTGCATACCAAATTTCAATGAGATCTCTTGAGCTGTTCTAGAGATACGTCCATCCATCTAAACATTCGCATTTATAATATTAGTAAAATGAAAATGGTACTTATAAAATCTATAGCTTTAGCAGAGATTTTAACAGAGATAAAGTTAAATCGCCTTTATTCCTATTCCTAGCTTAATCAAATTTAATATTAAATTATCATAGATAAATGAAAGTGAGAAAACGTATTTTGCCGAAAAACCTATGACTACCAATCACACTATAATTTTATGGGAGTATCTTTACTTAAACCCTTTAAAAACTACACAAAGGAAGGCCGGAATCAATTTTGACACGTGGCAGCAATAAAAAAGTTTGCCGTTCCAATTTCAAATTATCACTGGGCGGTGACTGACGCACGCACTAAATTAGGCGGCAATTTTGACAGCGGGACAGCTGTAAATTAACTTGTCAAAATATTTTTCTAAACAATCAAGACTCTTTTTGTTACAAAAGCAATCTACCGCCCTCATTCAAATAACAAAACAAAACCACAATTAGCATAATAGTTACTTTCATTGAATTTATTACAATAGATGGCCTCCATAGAGTCGCTTGTGTATATTTTAATATACATTTTGGGTAATATTTTATTCGCCTCTGGATAAAACTTTACACAAAAAATAAAAAAATTATTCTACATTTTTTTAATAAAACGGAACATCGTTTAACATTCCGTCATACAAATAATTAATTGGCTCTCAGTTAACCCACCTAATAAATCGGGGAAAATATAAATATTTAATAACGGAAAATTGCCGGAAAGGGAAGAATTATAAAATTATCTCTCAAACGTTTTGGATGGCAGCAAAAAGGGAATGCTTTTAAGATATACAGGATAAAGCTCTGACGGCTGAGCAGGTCCCGTGACCCCTTTCATGGATCGCTTACGTCAAACCTTTAGCAATGAAATGTATGAGACGGGTTATGTTTAACGGTTCAGACGTTGCTAAAAATTTCAAATAGAAATCAATATTTATGACATATTAAAAGTATGTTTAAAAAAGTGAGCCAAGACATTTAACACAACATAATAGTTTATATTTGAATTTCTTTTGTAGTAACGCAAATTAATTGTACTGGCCAGACGGTAAAGACGATTAGGATGAATTACATTTGATGAAAAAAAAACCTTACCAATAACCAACATAATGAGGAACTATCCGTATAGAAAATGTAACAGTCCTGTTTTATAAGAGTCTAGAATTTAAGTATAATAGTAAAAAAAGGTATAATCGGATAAGTTGGCGGTGTATTTGGTGCCGTTTAAATCGTTTTCACACTGTCGCGTCGCAGCCATTAAAAACTTTTTTAAATATCACCTCGAGCAATTACCTCCTACCCATTTTCCCCTAAGGCACCTGTTCCCTTTTCGTATTAGTGTAATAAACCATCATCGGTTTCAAATAGGATAGGCTTGAAACTCTTTAATAACAAGTGCAATCATAAAGGTAATATTTATTCTTTTCAGGTCAAATTTTATATCAAAATGATAAACAGCTGGAAAAATAGTGAACTGGTAATTTTTTCTTAGCTGTCCGAAACTTTTTAACTTAATAAACTATCTTTTTCTTTGTGTACATAACTGGACTCTACCGATACATACATTTCATTATTTCGTTTTTTACCTAAATACGTCCACATTAGTAACTAGCGGTAGACCGCGACACCGTCCGCGCGGATTTAAAAAACATAATAGCCTATGTGTTCTTCCCGACTATGTTCTATATGTATACCAAATTTGATCGCGATTCGTTCAGAAGTTCTGGAGATATCTTCAAACAAACAAACATCCATCCATCCATCTAAACATTCACATTTATAATATTAGTAAGATGAGAAATAATTGCTTAATGTACTTATAACACAAATTCTCCAAACTTAAATGGACAAATACAAATAAACTTTTGGCGAACATTTTCCACATCTTTAGTATAGGGAAGGCATCGCTCCGGACCGGAAACATCGGAAGCGGGCGGCCACAGGAAGGCTCGTGGCGTCAGGCGCTCCGAACTACGTTTTGCAACTAACTTAAAATACATAAATTTTTATTCATAAATGGTATGACTGGATTGTGTGAAGGATAATAAGAAGTGAGTGAGAACTAAGATATGACAGCTGGTGAAGATGTGTGAAAGAATAGTACAAACAGTGCGGTACCCAAGTCCGGAATAGAACAAGATGATAACTACATAGTAACGCCAAAAACAGAAGAATATCGATAAAAATAAATCGTGCATATCTTGTATTGATGTAGTTACATTAAATTGCAAACAATAGTCACATCGCAAACTATGACATGCGATGAGATGTGTGTAATTTTCATCTCATTGTTGTCCTGCGGGGACTTATTAGTTAGTAACATTGTGAATGCTGGGGCGGAGTGTGGGCGGAACACACACATGCTCCGAACAAATGTCTAAAAGTATCGAACTGTTACTGGTTTCTGGTTACCTTTGGTTTCTGGGATCAAAGTCTTTGTATAAAACTTATCGCCGTCCCTGTCTTTATCTTTGAAAAAACAAAGATAATAATATGTTTCAAACGGATATTTTGGTTTCAGAAACCCACGGTAAGCAGTACAATCAAGATTTGAATAACTTCTTATTCTTAACTTCTATGCCTCTGTTTTGAAACTACTGAAGTATTTTAAGTGTTTTATAAAAAAATAAGATTTTAGATTGCTCTCAAAATTCAACTGAAAAGTCGCCTAAAAGTTTTTGATTTTAAATTCATCACACTAATAATAAATATCCAATTAAAAAGTGGAAAATTAAAAAAAAAATCCTTGCGACCCTGCCAGGATTCGAACCTGGAATCTTCTGATCCGTAGTCAGACGCGTTATCCATTGCGCCACAGGGCCTATGCATAACATAACCAATAAATGAATATTATTCAGCCAATTACAATTATAAAAATGTACTATTATGGGAATAACTTGCTTTATCTGAAATATATTTTTTGTAGTAATAATAATAGCAAATAACTCAAGCTTATTTTCCTACAAGGGTTATAGTTTTTTTTAAATATTATGCATAACTTTGTAAACGATACTCTATAATTTGTTACCCTTTAATTTTAATACTAATCACTCATCAGTTCATTGGTTTATCTAATTTTCAAAGAGATGATCTATTAACTTGCATTTGCGTTTAATTTGATATTCATAAACCGTACCGCGTTTCTATTCTTTGGAAATGATAACATCACTGAATATCAACCCTTTGTTAGCCACATGACATTATGAATATAATTAAGGGTATCAAGTGTACCCGCAAAATGTTGACCAATTCAAAATATACATATTTTTTTCAATCTATATACATAACTAGCTGTCGCCCGCGACTCCGTCCGCGCGGGATTAAAAATAGATGTTGGCCGATTCTCAGACCTACTCAATATGCTCACAAAATTTGTTGCTCACACAATTGTGACGCGAGAATTTTATATAAATGATAATCAATTGCTGTTCGTTAGTCTAAAACTCGAGAATGGCTGAACGGATTTATCTTATCTTGGTCATGAAATGTTCGTGGAGATCTAGGAAAGGTTTAAAAAGTGAGAAAAGTTGGGATAATTGCCAGGAACTAATTACGTTTTTTTATTCCACGCGGACGGAGTCGCGGGCGACAGCAAGTTGTTAAATAAATTTCTAGTGTTTGCCTCATAGCCGATAGCAAAAATGACACGATACAAAAATCATGAATACTTCCGTGATTTAGGCCCTTCATGGATAAGGATACATAAATCATCAAAAATGGGTGATTTTAGTCTTAAAGCATCTTATGCAATATAATATTTTATTGGCGATGGATTAGGATAGTCGCTTGGCATGGTTTGTACACAGACACGCGTGGCCGACATTTCGCACTTTCCTTTTATCTGTTTGTTATATAATTTAAAAATTATTAAGTTTTTATTCTAAAAAATCGAGCGTATTTTTACTTTCTTTACCTAATATAAAAGATGTAACACTCACGAATAGCATTACATAGCTATTTTCTTGTTTTATTCAATTTTATACACAGAAAGTAATAAATAAATCATTAACATCGCGCCTTGATAGTGATAATATTTAAGATTATCGAATCTGTACAAGTTGCTGAAAATTTCTTTGAATACTTCAGATTTATAGGAGCTAAAACCTTACAAAAGAGTTTTATTTTTATCAAAAAAATGCCCATTTCAATACTATGACAAATGTTTATATGATAGATATTACCGATTGAATATCTATGTTGCTACGCTGCTACACCGCTACGCGACGCGGTGTAGCAGCATATAATACCTAATATGATGACTTTTTTATAACTATATATACTAGCCGTAAAATATGTTATTTGCGTGCGTTATATCTAGTGTAATATATTCGGAAAATCTTTTTAAATTTGTTTAATTTTACTCAAAATAACTATGTATAGTATAACAAAAATGTTTGGCATTTCTAAAAAAACATTTTATTTCGAGAACTGAACACAAACATCAATAGTAATCAAAAAATAAATTTATTAGATAGACAATTTCAGAGCGCAAGACCACTGACCAAGAGCTACATAATAGAAAACAGCGCGTCTCTATTTCAGCACGTTACCTCGAGAAGTTCATACGTGATTTTGTATTTTGTGCAATAAAACATGGTACAATGCATAAACTTTAAACGCAAGACCGACGAGCTACGGAGACAATAAAACAAAGAAGCGTAGATGCCCCGAGCGCTACGGGCGCACCCCGTACGACTCGCCAATCGTAGCGGCCGGACGGCGCGCGTGGGCCAATGAGGCGCGCCGCCGCCGCCTCCGGACGCCCTCATACACCCCCGCCCATCCCGCACCTCGCTTGAATGAGACGCAGCATCTCTATAAAGATTTTACATCGATTACGGGGGTATGGGAGCAGGCCGTTCCGTTTGCACACAAGGGCGGCGACGTGCGGTCCTCTCGCGCAGTCGCGGACAATTAGTGCGCGGGGCGGACGGCGGCGAGCAACGTCACTATAATGTGGTTAGTCAGTGAGCGTCGGGGCCGCGCCGACGGTGAGCACGGCGAACACGGCGCGCACGGCGAGGGCTTGGAGCACGAGACGAGAGGCGCGGGAGAACCGCGCTGCTCGCTCCAGCGCACCGGCTACAGCACGGTGGAGTTCAAGAGCTCGGCGTGCGCGGGGGCCGCGGAGCCACCCGCGCCGCCGCTCGCCGCGCTGCCGGACCCCCAGCAGTTCAACATCTTCCCGGCCTTCTTCAGCCGCCAGCTTAACTTCACTGGTGGCGGCGGCTGCGCGCAAGGTGCCAAAATTATGGAGGAGCTGAGGCCCAACCTCGTGGGAGGACTTCTCGGGGTGCCGGGCCTTCTAGACGAACACCAAAGTGATGCCAAGTTTCACCCGTCGGGCGTTGAGAGCAAGTATACACCGGACAAGGGACGGAAATGTAGCAACGCTTCGTCTTCTTCCGCCGAAGAGTTTGGGGGCTTGTATGGTGGAGACCACGCGGCCACGCCGCCCGCACCTCTTAGCCGATCTCTGCAAGATCACTCAGGTATGTTCACTCTTATTTGTAACAGAAGAAAAAACTTAATACTTAAAATGCAAAAATATATATCTTAAACCTCATACAAATTTACATTTTAATAGAGTAGAAATTGTATGACAGCTGATATTGTACAAGGTACCTTTAACTTTATGTGTTAAATAGATTATGGATGAACTTATCTGAAATTCTAATACTTACCCACAATTATGTCAATGTAACATATTCATATATTATACATATTTGTATGCGTAGAAAAATTCCGTCTTTTATAGATTTTGTATTTACTTTAATATTTAAGACGGTAAATTTTTTCATGGAATATGAACTGCGTTGTTATTTAACTTTTATCAGCCACTCTTGATAAGAAATGTTCATAAGATTAGCTGAATTAAAATCATTACAAATATTGAAATCCGTCCAGCGCATTTTTACAGTTACATTTAACCGTGTGTTACCTTAATTAACTTAATAGAAGGTTCAAAAGGAACCAGAAGACTCAAGACAAACCGGCCGACTGCAGCAACCGCTGTGTACTATCACCATAGTACATAAATAAATAGAGCAGACACTTTTACAAAGATTTTCTCATTCATCTATCATTCCTACAGATTGAAGTATTTTCTTCAATTATAAGTGTCTATAATTTTAAATTGAATAATTCAAAATAGTTACTGTACACTTCTTGTACGAAGATACAAAGATACTTTAAGGTGCCGTGACGAATTACATCACAAACTGTGAGTTAACGAGTCCAAAATCTCTGTTTAAGATATTATATCTGTGCTGTCAAAGATACAGGAATGACGATGTTTTATATAGATATTTTGGTGTCAGAAACCCACGGTAAATATTGTATTGAAGATAACAAGTATCTTTAAAACAATACTGCCAGTAACTTTAATAATTAACTTATCATCTAAACCACCAGTAAAAATCACTAATTAAAAACTGCTTAGGTTATACAACTATGACTTCAGTGATGTTTGTTATATTTCTTATACTATAGACATGTTTCACAATATCCTAAGTCCTGGATAAGCTCGGAAGTTATTTGTTAAATAATATCTTTGTCGTTCCACAATCTCCAATTAAGCTGTAAAATGCAAACTATGTTGACAGCAAATATTACATCTAAGTTAATTCCTTTGTTAGTTATCCAGCACTTTACTTGGACATTGTGAAACGGACCCCAAGTATTTAATTCAAGAAACGTGGAAAAAGACTTGTTTTAATTAATCCGGCTAACATTGTCGGCAGCGCGGCACTGCCCAGTTTTCTCTAAACCATCTCAAAATAGCTATTTTTTTCTTGAAATGTCTTAAATAAATAGGATCTCACAGTTTCAATCGATATAAAACTTCGAGACTATTATTCCATTAAATTTGTCCTAGAGTGATATTTTCTGTCACGTATAGCCGAAGCTTTCCAGAATATGTACGCGTATTACAATTCCAATTAGACTAATATTGCAAACAATCGGCCCCGGGGCTGACGTCATGAATACGAAATGTCACTAACGACCGCCCACCGCGCCCTCCCCCGCTCTACCCCGCTCGGGGGAAATTGGGGCTGAATTTTCAGACGCCTCTAGCTGCCAACTTGAACATGTTATACCTACACATGAATACACAATACATTTGCTACTTTTTAATAGAAATAGGCTTTTATGACGGATCTTCATTCAAATTTGTGTGTTTTACAAAACTTTGATAGGAACTATTCGCATAGAAACAATATAATAATAATTTTACACATAAATATAACGTATTAACTTGTATTTTAATTACTTCCTTATCTTGTTTTTATAACTATCAATTTAATTTAAAATTAATTAGCATCATGAAAAAGACATGTGTTGGCAATTTCATACTTAGATAAAGTTCATATTTCATACTAAACCAGATTTTATAAACAAGAGCAAAACAAGATAAAGTAACTTTATATTGAAATTGGTCACAGGAATATAAATTAAGGTGGGTGTACACGGCGCGTCACGTACAGCCGGCCGGCAGTAACAATGGTGCGGACGTGTCGGCCAGGCCTTTATGTGTACACTCCTTTATGCGTCATAGCCTTTTGCTACAATACTTAGGTGTAGGTTTATGTTATGCACGCCATATTTCAATTTTACTTATAAAATTATAATTGGAATGTTCAGATCTTATTAATATTATAAATGCGAATGTTTGCGTGGGCAGATGGATGGATAGATGGTTATTAGAAGGTTAAGGCATGCAGAACATAGGCTACTCTCTCTCTGTCTCTCTACCTAGCTTGCATCCCACAAGGTGGTGGGGTCAGCTTTACAAATCCGTCCCTTTCACTTCGCTCTGTCCATGACATCTTTTTCTGAGACTAGTTTAGAACATAGGCTACTAATTATCATTTTTTAATTCCGTAAGTACGGAGTCGCGGGTGACAGCTATATCATTTTTTTATATCAAAAGGTGGCAAACGAGCGAGCGGCCACTAGAAATAGCGAAGTGACCATTGCCCATAAACATACGCAATTGCATATGCGTTGCCTACCTTTAATCGACGGAGGAGACGATGCACAGAAAGAAAACATGTTCCCTTTCCATGCATCCTCTCATCCGGAAAGTCCACTTCCACTTCGCATCCTTTCAAGAAAAAGGGTGGGAAGGGAAAGAGAACTAAATTAGGCCTCCGGGACGCACACTCATCAGACGAAACGCGGAATAGCTTCCACTTGACGCCTGTCTTCTGTGTGGTCGTGGTATTTCACCGGGCGAGCCGGGCCAATTCGTGCGAAGATGTGAAAGCGGGCTCTACTACTGTTAAATCATATATCAATAAAAGGCATTCAAAGGGTTAAAATGTATTTTACTAAGTAAATTTTCAACAACCGTCGGCATTTTTTTGCAAAAAAAAACTATGAAACAAATAAGCAGTTGTAATACAACATCGGCATAAACTAATCGTCAATATAATATACAGTTTCCATTTCGTCTCCATAAACATTTTTTGGCCGAACTGGTGATGCTTGAAAGAAGAATTTCGGCTTTTTTAAAGATTTTATAACTGGTAAACTTTTAAATAACATCTCTATATCTCCAGTTTGTGCTCCTGGTTGGTTTGTTTCAGACGGGTCGGCAATTGGTTCAATTTCATTTTGGTTACGGTAACCAATAACTTGGTAATCCTTTGGCGGTTCAGTAGTGCGCTTACCGGATAACTGAGGTCTTACAGAGGTGACGCGATCTTGCCGAAAAAGACCACCTATAGCGGAATCAATTAAAATACCTAAAAAAATAGCATATATTTATAATGGAACGTACATTAACTTGACTAACTTTAAATTAAATTAGTAAGTAAGTGGTAAGATAAATGAATCAGTTTATATCTAATAAACCGACTTCAAAAAGCAGGAGATTCTCAATACATCTGTTTTATTTTTATTTTACCTATATATAAATTCGACATAGGACTCCCCTAGATTTTTCCATAGTTTCTTTTCCCGGGCTAATCTTCTACACCCTTAGGTAAGTCATCTTCCCATCTCTAATCTAAAAATCTAGAGGAGGCCTATGTTGAAGGACATCCTGACAAAGCAACTGGAAGTTGAAAACAAAACTATAATTTTAATATTTTTTCTGTTTTTTTTTTTAATCTAAAAAAGTAGTTTGAATTTGTGTAATAAAAAAAAATGATGTTCTGGTTAGCGAATAAAGGCTTATTTTATCTTATAGATAAATTGCACATTTTTCGCTAAAACTTGTTAATTCCAATATATTTTAACATATATTATTTGATCTCCCACTTAACTAAGCTAACGTTATTAAGTAATATCACTTTTTAGTCACTTGATTATATTGTTATTTTAACAAAATTACTAACAATGAAATAGTGTTATGACTTTCATGTAATTCGACATTCCTTTGTTTATTTTATTAAGCCACTGGATTGAAATTAAACATAGATCGATTTATTTATTAATCAATTTTACAAATCTGCACCGAGTTGAATCCAAGGTGAAATTAAAACAGATTAATAAAACAGTGTTAACAAACTTTAAATAAAAATTTTAAAAAATAAATTTTAAATCAATTTGAAACTTCAATAATATTAGTTCCAATTTAATTGAAATACAACAAACAAATGCCCTTACCGAGTATAAATAGAGATATACAATTTAAATTCATTTTAAATTTAATTTAATATTTTATAATTTAAAACACTTGGTTGCTTTGACCACACTAACAGAGATGATAATAAATTAGATATAGTTCAAGTATTTAATGAATTCAAATTAAAACTCTCGTTATTAATCAATTAATTTGTTATCAATACCGTTAAATATTGCGTGACTTCGGCTATTACCTTTAAAAGTCGTATTTAGACTATGCATTATACATAACTTTACTATATTTTCTACTCATATAAACTGTTTGGATATCAAACATTAATCACGTGATTTTTTTTTTAATTTTACAACCTGATGAGGTTTTTTTTTATTATTTGCCTTCGCCGCCCTCTTATCTCTCTTTGCACTGTAAGAGCCAAGAACTTTGGTTTTATTTATTTAATTTTTAACATTTTCCTACTTATGCGGTTAGGTTTTACAATACCCTTCTCCCTATACCTAAAACTATGAGCATTTTTAATACAAAGTAATATGAGCATTTATCATCGTCACTACAAAAATAAATATATGAGATATCTTTAATTTAGTTCCACTCCCACTTCATAATTTTTTCGGAACCCTCCTCCGAGCTTAACGTAAAGGACGATCCCATGTTACCTTTACATAATCCATTAAAAAGTGTTTATTGTTTTAAAGTAATGAATAAATTAGTGTGACCTTGTTTTTCATTTACATTAAAAAACGTGACGCAACGTATTTATATTTGGAAACACTAGTCATAAAACAATTGAATTCTCCGTAATGACAAAAAAATTGTTTGTTTTTTGAAAACCATAAAATTGTATTAAAAGATAGTACTAAAAATGTTTAAAATCAATGTACCAGTGACCCTATGGAATTTGAAATGGTGGAACCAATTGAAAAAGTCTTAAATTGAGGACCCTCTCGACATAATGGAGTGTGTATTGTGACGCACCGCGCGCCCGCCGTACACAATGCATTCTATCCCTGTAACTGCTCAGATCAGCTGCTACTAAAAATAGTTAAGCCACGTTTAATTTATAAAGAATAGAAAACAAGTCAACTAATTATTGCGCATCTACAATTGAAAGATGATAATTTAAGTGCGTTAGATAAATGTAAACTCAACTGTAACAGTGCAAAATCCTGAATACGATAGGTTTATCCTTCCTATTTTTTCAGATCACAAGGTTAAAACATAACATTTTTCATATATGACACTAAAATTAGAAAAAAAATCTTATGTAACATGGTATTAAAATGTAAGGAGAACTATAACTTGGCAATAAGATCTAATTCCTACTACTTTGCTAGCCTGTCTGTCTGTTTTCTATTAGCGTGGCAGCGACTGCTATACAACATGTTAGCTCCGTGGCTAGCGCCTAATAAAAAAGGAGCATTAAAAACGGAACAATCAGTAGAGAAAATGTTTAAAGGACACGGTCCTTATCTTAATAAATTAGCATATCCAAACAAAGAAAAAAAGATTAATTGAATTCCCTAAGACATTATATCCTCTTTATTATTTTAGTCCCCTTTAGTGTTTGTCATGCGAAATTAATCGGCAAGGTGCAATCAGTGATGGAAATCTGTCGGATTTGTGGCATTTGCGCCGATTATAAATCTATTAGTGCTGCGCGACATATGCACGCTGGCAGTGCTAGAGGGCGCGAGCGACGCCCCGTCGACACTCCGGAGGTGGTACAGACCCTACACATCGCATGTACAATTTATTTATAATTTTTTAATATGAACTCAAAGAATGATTGATTTTTAGGCAAAAATCCATAGCTTTTTAAAATACCTTCTATTTCTTGAAATTACAATAACAATTAGGCGTAATAAAGTTATTTACTATGAAAAAAGTAAAGGTATAAAATGTTTAATTATAAAATTAATTATTCGACATTATACTCAAGTATTAAAGTCTATTTTAATGTTTTTCCTACGTAACAGTAGTAGAATAAAATGCACCTTCATAAAAAAACACGTGTAAAGTAACAATTTTGATACGAGTCAATCCTATTCTCGGGATGCAGTCACCCGACACCTCTCGAGCGGCCACAGATGGCGCTTTTATGTCAATCGTCATAATTAGGGGATTACGACCCCCTAATGACATGTTACATTGAATCTCTATCACGCCCCTGAACAAATGTTCTCTAGTCTGCACTACAAATAAATATTGTTCATTGACTTTTCGCAGATATCTCGGGTACACTGTATCAACCCCAAAATTAACAAAATATAAATATGTCAATCTATTTCTGCGTCAACTAGGTGTAATTATTTCTTGAAATATGTAAGAAATGTCTTATACCTGTATTCATATTTATCATAATAACAAGCTCATTAAAAATTAAAAAAAAAAAATTATAACCTTGATTTAAAAAAAAGAATCGAATTCACCTTACCAAAATCGGTTCAATCGTTTAGGCTCTTGGTCGTCATAATGGAATTTAGATACATACAAATTCACATACATAAAAAAACTTACATACGCACCAAAAACACTAATCTCTATGTTAATCAAAGTCATAGAGTCAAAATCGTAAAACAAAAATATTTTCCAAAGAATTATTAATATAAATTTATATGTCACAAAATCTGTAATCTACTGCAAATTATTAAAAAACCAGAACAAATCTGGTATAATAGCTTTTAATTTATTAATCTTAAATTACTTCGACCAAGTCAGACCGTCCTCAAAATTCGACATTCAAAAAACGTGAATTTAAAAAAAGAACACTAACGGCATAATGGCCGCCAGAAAATGACAAGTAAAAAGCGAAACCGATATAACCGTCAGAGGCAGGTAAAACATAGACATGAAAAAAGCAACCTTTTAAACGCTAAAAGGCCCCGTTTACCGCGGACGCAAACACTTAGCTCCATGTTAATTAGTAAGTAGCTAGGACGCCGTCAAAGGGAATGCATGAATACTTGCTAAACCGACCTCCAGCGGTGCTTTTAAAATCTCCCCCTCTTAATTCAGAAGCTCAGAGAAACCAAAGGTAAACTGATTACTTCGCCAATACGGCATTTTTAAAAGCTTGCGCGGAATTTATACAGACGGAATATAGAAATAGATAATAAGATCACTTTCAACGTTTATAGTTTTTCGCTTTAGCGGTATTCGGTCTAGCTTTTTCAATGTGAACAGAATATCAAAGCTAATAGACGTATAGCCAATAGTACTAGTTCTATATATCTGTTCAATAACATAATAACTCTTTTGTACAAAGTGTTTAAGGAGGATAAAAAAATGTTTTAGTCGAAATCTATGGTTAGGAGCAAATATAATTATGTTACATTTTTAATAAATGCGTAATAACTTAAATATAAATGGATATTATAAGTATAACTATTATATAAGCTAATAGCTAATACTGTATATAGTATGTCTGCCGAGCGTCACAAGTGACATAATTAGACAGCTAAGTTGATGGAATGATTTAAATGCCAGTAACAGTGGTAGAGCCCGCTTTAACATCTTCGCACGACTTGGCCCGGCTCGCCCGGTGAAATACCACTACGACACAGAAGACAGGCGTGAAGTGGAAGAAATTCCGCGTTTCGTCCTGTTTCCTTTCCCACCCTTTTTCGTATAAGGAAAAGGATGGGAAGTGGAAGTGAACTTTCCGGAAGAGGGGTTGCATGGGAAGGGAAAATATTTTCTTTCTGTGCATCCTCTCCTCCTTCGATTCAAGGTAGGCAACACATATGCAATTGCGTATATCTATGGGCAACGGTCACTTCGCTATTTCAGCGATTTCAAGTGGCCGCTCGCTCGTTTGCCAACTTACTATAAAAATAAAATGCAAAAAGAAAGATATAAATCAACAAAGATGTAACGTAAATGAAGTACGTATGTAAATCTTACTAATATAATAAATGCGAAAAGTTTAGATGGATAGAAGGGTAGACGGATGTTTGTTAGAAGGTAACGGCTTAACAGATCTCGTTAAAATTACAGGCACAGAGGCACAGAAAACATAGTCTGGAAGAACACTTATTTACTAAGATTTTTTTAAATTCCGCGCGGACGGAGTCTTTTTTCTATGATTTACGATGAACTTAGAGCATTGTGTTATTGATAAACCTTTTCAGAAATAGGCCGTTACATTCTTAATTTACTTAGTTAACCAGATTTAACCACAATCAGAGTGGGGCAAGTCGCGATCTTGACCTACGGACTCCGAAGGATCGATGCCGTCGACCGTTATGCTAATAAGATTTTCTTTGAAGTAAAGACTACGTGATGTGGCTGGAAGGTATCGACACTTGTAATAAAAAATTAAGTTACTTATAATATATTTCTTAACGAGTATCATCATTCTAATCTGACCATCATAAATAACTCTTTCTATTAGGAGAAGCAGTTTGAATAAAATTAAGCAATACAGTAGGGAGAAATCAGAGTTAATCAACATTCATACTGAAACACAAGAAGAAAAACGAACTAATTATTATAATTTAATAACTACGGTAGCCTATTATTATTTACTTTCAAAATTGAAATTATTACTATGATTTCTTTTTTAACATTTTCCCGGATTTTTTAAAACACACACTACATCAGGACTGGTAGACGCGGCCAAGGGGGTTATCGAGTTTTTGTTGTCTGTTTTGTTATGCCCATGTAAAAAAGTTCCTAAAATAATTTTTTTCTAAGATATATTACATTGAAAAGCAGAAGGCGCGTTCAAGAAGCTAAAGCCAGAGCCGGGCGGGTCGGGCGGCGGAGGCTCGACATCCGCGCTGTCGCCGGCGCTGGGCCCACAGCACGCCGGACACACGCCCACCACCGCCTCTTGCCCCACACCCGCCAGGCGGAGGCATAGGACTACTTTTACACAGGTATGTAAACACTAGTACGTAAAAAAAGTATCGACTGCCTGATATATACTGACATATGACTGTCAAAAGATATGTCACCTGACACATAAAAGATGCGACGACCGTTTTAAATTACCTCACTGCTGGTATAAGACTTAGAAGGAAATATTTATGTAATTTGCCAGACATGTATTGCTCAATTTGCAACGTATTAAAGCAGTAAAGACTGTTGCCTACGTGTAATGATATTTTTTTAAATTGTTTCTAAAATATTGTATTGTATGTTGTCTAGGAACAATTAGCGGAATTAGAAGCAGCTTTTGCGAAGTCTCACTACCCCGACATTTACTGCAGAGAGGAGCTCGCAAGGACGACCAAACTCAACGAGGCTAGGATACAGGTATAGTAAAGTATAAAACCCCGAAGTTGTAGTGCGAGTAGGGATGCGTAACATCTTAGTGCTACGATAACTCTACGACGTAGACACTTCTTTCTTGAAATATACGATAAATTATGAAATTGTTAGGGAATAAAGAAAAATAAAAGTAAATCAAGATCAAAGCGTGGTTCAGTATTGTGCATTACATTTAAAATGTCCAAATATCATTGATGTTGAACATTGGGTTAATATAATTTGTGACACGGGCCGGAGGCGTATTGGATTAAAGCGCCATCTGTCGACCCGCCCGTATGAATACGAAATACTTACAGTTCCTCGCGATCTTTATCTCAGTTTTAAAATCGCTCAGTCCCCCGGGTCTCTATTGATTTGTCCCCGAGGCACCTAATCTGTCGCTTTTTTATATCACCCAGAATGTAATTTTTATCGTTTTTGAACTTATATTTACGTCATCTTACATTTACTAAACTATTATTTAGAAGTACGACCATAAATTTCAATCGAAGTTTATTTTTATTTTTTTAATAATAATATTTTATGCACTTCTTTACATTAGCTTTAATTATTTCAAAACCGTTCGTGCGATTTCCTTAAAAAAGGGTACAAAGGTTTTTCTACTCGTGTTTATTAAAAAGTCTAAAACCTACAAAAAATATATAACTCCACTATTTGATACATATATGGGATTATGAATATCTTTTATTAAAAATATAAGTCGACATAAAATAAAAGGTTACATAACATCATTACATCGAAGGCTGGTGCATATATAGCTTTAAAAGGTTGTACGTAAGTTACAAGACTACAGCTTGCGTATAAACATGAGTAAGTACACGAAGGAACCTATTAGCGTTCACGCGACGTCGGTACATAAGAATGTAAACGTTAAAGACGACGAGCTCCCTTCTAGAGAGAATTTCGATATAAAAATACAACGCCGGAGGGCGCGCGGCGAGGGGACAGAGGTTGGGGGAGGCGGGGAGAGCCGCGGAGGGGACAGGGGACAGGGGAGGTGGCCCCCGAGGCATTGCAATCCCATCAAATGGATCCGTAACGAAGTTAGCCGCTCATCCTCCCCGCGCGCCTCCCGACATTGTCTCTGCCCTCAAATGAATTCTACAATTGGAAATAAGAAAATGTTTTGTTGGAGCCTCGCCGCCGTGCTTTTCCAGTTTAAATGCGACCGTTTTCATCGGATAACACGGAGCTCGAGGCAGCGCGTTTATGTATTACTAAGAAAATTGAAATACCATTTATTTTTTTAATTTTATATTAAAACGGTTTGCGAAATGTTTTAATATTATTTCAACATTTGTATATAGGAATTAGTAAAATCAAACGAAACATGTTTTCAGTCATTATTCGGTCAGTTATTTAGTCAGTACTAATTTTGACTCGATGGTTGTTCACTGAAAAATTCAGATCAAAATAAAATACTGAAAATAAAAATTCGCAAAGCTATCAACAATTCGTACCTAAAACAAGATATACAGAAATATATTTATGTCATTTAATAAATATATTTCTCTAAAATATTGACTAACATAGGTTCAGCTTTTATAGTCGTTACTTTACGTAATAACGTATAAATATTATTCAACTTTTATCTTTAAAAGATAATCAAATACAGGAAATTAAATGATTTTCCCGCATTATTTGCTACAAACGAATCAATTTTAAGCGGATATGAAATAGTCTCATTTTTCGTCACAACGCGCAGCAAAACACGAACATTGGACAGCTTCGGGAGGAAAAAAACTAATGCGCCATTTATGTGTCTTCCCTCCACCCACGCGTATACATATAGTTAGGCTACACAGGGAAAAATCACTCGTATCTTAGGTACATAAAGAGGAAAATAGCTTGATATTTGATAGACGTGTAGGGTGTGTTAGGCGTAGGGTGTATCGGTTTATTTATATGGAGAGTGCGTTCGGAGGGAGCGGCACTCCGCCCCGCGCCCCGTGTCCCCCGGCCCGCCTCTAATCAGCTCTAATCACCATATCAAACGACGTACGCTCTCATTCCTGGTGACAACAACGGATTAAGCCCTCGTGTTACTGCCCTTTATATTGTTTAAGCTTTATATATTTTAATCATATTAAAGTTTCTAAATTATATAATTGTATATAAACTTTTATTGTCTTCGCAAATTTTGACAAAACATAATCCTTATGTCACAAAATGTCACATATACAGGGTACACTACTAAATATATGGGCAACACTATCAAAATCATAAACACCATGACAATATTTGTTAATTTATAATAGTTAAAAAGTTTTCATACATTTAACTCAATCAAATATATTTTGAATCAACCTGTATTTGCAGTGTATGATCGTCACGACATTTAGGTTAATCTCAATAACTTATAACATGCCTGTTCCATCTATGTCAAATATTGGTTATTCTGTACAGGTATGGTTTCAAAATCGTCGTGCGAAGTACCGCAAACAAGAGAAGCAGCTCCAGAAGGCTCTCGCGCCCGCCGTACTACCGGGCTGCAACGGCATGATGCGCAACATACAGGGCTACCGCGGATACCAGCCATACCCACATCCCAACACCATCAATAGATATCCACAGGTATTTATTACGATATACTAGCTACCTATGACTCCGTCTGCTAGGAATTTAAAAAAATAGTAGCAGATTTCAGCAAGATCCGTTTTGAAGATACCTTCTCATGCAAGTTTCAACAGTTTTGTAAATTATTTATGCAGCTGACTGTACTCTTAATATTACAAAACGCCATGCAATGTAACGTAATAAGAGAGATTCCTTTCAAATTCATCAAAAAAAAACAGTATAATCATTTCGCTTAGTTAAATACTTCAGTCAATAAGCTTCTGCTATTGTTATTTTTATCCATTGATTTTTAACTTATAGTTAGGTAAAATGGAGACAATTAATACTCGATTCCCAAGTCCTTAAGACACAATATTGGTCAGAATAGACGTTACAACATTTAAAACGTTCATATTTAAAGGGTTTTTGTGAATGAAAAGCGAATACAAATGATGCATCGCAATTTGTCCGCTCATTACGATGCGGCGCTAATCAGCGCTGTGATTACGTCGTAATGCGATTGCCGACGCCGCCGCTGCCGCCGAAAATAATGCAAATGGTTGCCGCGACAACCGCTCTGCCGGTATAACTCAATATCACAACAATACCAATCGTTTGCTCAGTGTTACCCATCAATCGAATCTCTACATTGTGATACTAAAGACATGCCGTAATTATTTTGCATTACTATCACACTATATTAGTCAACAATAAGAACGGTGCTAAACTTTCAAAAGAATAGTATTAAGTAGATATGTATAATAAATAAAATTTCAGACCAATTGAGACTTTGAGAACTTTTTAATATCGATTAAATTGGAATAATCTTTCTTAACTGGTATTGGTGAGCAAAGTTTCTAATACTATTTTTCGTTATGGTGTAGAAACTTTGTCGTGGTTACTTCCCCTAGTTTCTATAACATCATCTCTTTGACATGTACATTTAAGCCGTTAATTGCTTAAACAAAAATTATGTTTATGTACTGCTGAAAATTGCGCCTGTAACTATTAAAAAGCAACGAGTCAAAGTAATTATTTGCTACTAAAAATCTCCAGTAACTGCTATTGACAAACATATAGGGTCATAAAAGGCTTGTATAATTTAGTGGTATTTGACGCGATCACACAAGTGTTAATTCGCTTCATCCCATTATCAATTAGCTGAAGTGTTGATAGCAGTAAAACATACGACCGCGACCCGACGAACGATTAACATAAAACAAGCGCTCGAAAAACGATTAACTTCCCCGAAGCGAGCTCTCCGTGTGCTAATGAGCTGTTGATGAGATTTCGGCCCCGGCTCGCAATGCCAATGCGAACGCGTGCATTAATTTACATTTTGTCAATTCAATTTATATATAATTTTAAGCGATTGAGCATTACTATGATAAATAACATAAACAAGACTTATAATATCCTAGACACACGAAACCTTAAACAAATATCTTATTTCAAATTATAATTTTACGTCTAAGTCAGAGTTGTGTTCTCACTAAGCCCCTTAGTATAGATTTAGTAAGCGACATCTGCTAAGCGCCTTTTTTATATGACTGTGCGTGTGGCAGTAATTTAATGTGACATACCTTTGTGCAGCATCACGGCAGTTACGAGGAGTTGCAGAAGGACATATTCTCGCTGTCTCAGATGGGCGGCGGCTCATACCCCATGCCGCAGGGCTTCTCCATGGGCCACAGCGCCAACATGTCCGCAGTCGGTATGCGGCAAGATGCCATGGGTAAGTCATCTAGACAACATTCTATTTCTAATTACAATATTTACAAATACGAAGACACAAGATACACTGCTATACGCAGACTGAGATTAAAAAATAAAGTGTTGCAATATATTAATATTTCGTTAGATTATGGGAAAATAATACAAACAAGCAAAGATTTTTCTACTTTAACACGATAAATCAAATGCTAATTTGATAAGATTAGGTTAGGATATGTTGTTAAGGAAATATTATTATTATACATTTTATAACGAAAATAAAATCTAACTTATTAAATTTAACAATTACAAAGCCTACAATAAAATTAGAAGCGCTACAGTAAAAACTAAAACGCAAGTTGAAACAAGGAGCGATATAGGCGACGCGAGCGACGGGCGGCGGGCGAAGGCAGTTTTCATCAACTTTCTATTAGCGCCGTCAAGGCAATTATAAAGTTGGCAAGAGCTGAGCGATGATCGCGGAACCCGTCGCCTTTTTATACAAATATCCCTTATAATAATGAGAAAAGTTGCCACAGAAAGATAAGTTCCGGCCGATGATCTTGAAAAAAAAGATGAAAAAAACTTAATTACAATTTGTTAAAGTCGCCTTCTAACGTTTATTCTTTTTTCAAAAACGTTTTGCTCGTTATTAAAAGAAATGTTAGAACAAAACTGTCTTACGGTCGTCAGTGATAACTTTTTTTCTTATCGAAATTGTCGGCATAATTTATTGATGTTGAAACATATCATAGTATATTTAACAGTCAATTATATTACAAGCTATTGTATTGTCGTTATTTATGCTAAAAATTATTAAAAAAAACCTAGTAGTTGCTAAAAATATTATTTACACTTATAAAAGATTGTTAAACTTAAATTTTTAAATGATTTCATTTTTTCCGTTCTATTTTAAAAACAAATGATAAATATTTTGAATCGGATTATTATAATTTCTACAAGAATTATCACCTATTTTGCAGACTACAGATATGTTTGAAATGCAAATATCATTACTAACCTATATTAGAAATGTACACATTAATTTAATATTAGTTGAAGTTATAAACGGAAATGATAAATTATATTTATAGAACTGCGAAGCTTAACCAGTTCAACTAATTCTGGTGCACCGTCATACATGTCAAACGTATATATCATATCCCTTCATATGATATTTATAGCAGAACGATGAACTTTGATTTAGTCGCAATAATGTAAAATTTGAATGCATATTGCAAAGTTAACTTAAACAATTAATAACCTAAAAATTTTAAGAAGACATTACTAAAGTTTTGCGACATACCTTAACAAAATTAAGCTTTCGCCTATTTGTATCAAACACAATTGTTAAAATATTACAACTAGACACACTAATCTAAAAATCGTTTAGACAGTAACATTTCGAAGATTTTTTACTAAGAAGCAATAAGTGAGCTTATTTCGGTAAAAAAAATCCAAGGCGACGAAACATGAAACGACATCGCTCGAGGCGTCGTAGACATTCCGGCGTAGAAAAAACGAGCAAGTAATGGAGGCGAGGCATCGTACCGTAGATATTCTAATAAGAAAATTTCCACTACATTTACTTTGGCGGGCGTCCTCGCGGCGTCTTGGCAAATATCTTATTTCCTGCGGCGAGATTGCATCTTGAGAAAACGCGAGGGTCGATTCGGGACCTCACTACTCGCTCCCGGTCCTCCAAATACACCCTCCTACGTTAAAATATGTCTGCTAGTATACAAGGGGGATATATAATTAGAATATATTTATTTGCGGGTACATACATAAGCAAAAAGTTACAATGTACGAAAAATCTCTAAGTATTTAATGAGATTTATTGCTATTGAAATAAAGACGAACTAAAGTTACATACGAATACTAACAATGAACAGAAACACAACAAACGATGCAAACTTCGATAAATAAATAATTATTGAAGATCGCAAATATATTGAGTTTTTTTTTTAATATTTCCTGCGTAATTCTCGCTTATGTAAGAGGCATTAATACATATTGCATGTACGGAACGTATTATGTGACGAAAGTAAATAGTCCTATGTATCCCTCAGCGTCTCAGCTACTCACTCCGATCTTGTCTTTAAGTTTTATGCGTTGACATTTGTGGTGTTCGTATAACGACTCGATTGCGCGTATTGCCTAGTAAATACATATGTAATAATAATTTGTTACCCACAGGCATGAGTGCAGAGGACGAATGGTACAACAAATCATTGTCCGCTCTACGAATGAACAGCGGCCATCATGCAAACCTAACCGCGGCACCAATGCTGCAATACCAGACCTAATCGCTACTGCACGGCGCCGACTACTCGCCGGCGCCGGCGCACGACTACGCGCCACCATAAACAGCCAGCAATGAAACGAATACAAGTCGTTTCAATCGGCTCGATAACCTTAATATGAAGATATATTTTACAAGACTTTCCGTTGAAAACATTGCTACATTATGGAACTTCAAATTCGATTTCACATTTCTCAGTTTTCTACTTAAACAGGTTAAACTTTTCGATCATGATTGATTAAATAATATAATAATTGCGGTCTTTAATTTGTATTTTAACTCTACTATTCTATTACTTTATTGTTTTAACAAAAAATTGAATCAAAGACTTTTCTAACTTTTAATAGAAATAAAATTTTCAAAGACTTAACCAAATGCGGCTAAGGCGCTAGTTATGTGAATCATAAAGGACTATTCTTTGACCGTTGAAATGCTGAAAAATATTCAAGCTGTTTAACTATAAGACGTGGTTAACTGTGCGGTTAACTATACATAGCGTATATAGGTACAAAATAGAATTTTTACTTTTATCACTAAAAGCGTTTATTTCGATTTACGCAAAATTATGTATCCTAGTCATATTGTACAGGCATTTTAATAGATTAAGTAATTATAAGGTCCATGTATGTGTATTTCCCGACTGTTTTATCGACGTTTTTGGCTTTTTAGGGAGCTCTTTATTTTTGAAAAAAGAACTTAATAAAATGACTTTTTTCTTTGTTTAAATTATAAAGAGAAATAATTATTTTATTCAAAGATAAAGAGTTCTCTTTTACACAATAGATATACAATGATGTAAATAAAATATTTTGCATGATATTTATAAGATGTTAACAATTCAACGATATCATAATGTTAACTAAATATTGTTTAGTCAAAATTTTTAATAATAAGCGGCCATTTTGTCTCTCTTAATGCGCTGTATTTGCTAGTCAGTTATCTGTGAACCAAGTTTGATCTCATCGTAATTTAATAATTAAAATTGTATTTAATGTTTATTTATTTTTATTTATCTTCAATTTGAGTATGGTAGTCGTTTCTGAATGGCCATCCTGTGGATTTCAATGTATATATATTTTATAAGAGAACTTATCAGAATAATAAACATGTGTAAAATTAAAATAAATCGTCTAAAATGTATATACTGTTGTTTTTATACATACTTAATCTTTGATTTTTACTAAAGTCGAAATAAAAAAGTCACATAGATTTCTTTCTTTTACATGGTAAATAGACATTAACAAATGACTGGTGCTATGTGCCAGCTCTGCCAAATAATATTGGCTGAATTTCGAATTTTTTACCAATATTTATTTCAGAAAAAATTGATAGCAAAAAATATGTGATTGGTCCTTCAAGAAAGTTATTACACACGAAACAATATTAAAGACTCTATTTTCACCACAATCAAGAGAAATTCTTCTGTTAAATAATCGTAGTGATCTTTTAACTTCGTTCTTTATTTATTGACATTTGACGTATAATTACTAAAAAGAAAACAATTGTTTTGCAAGACATTTTACTCACCAGTGTATAAATAATATAAAATAAGCAGTAAAATCATTCAGATTTAGGCAGAGCATACTGCGGGTTTGTAGCGTAGTTCTGTTTAAGATAACGGGAGAGATGCGCTACTACGATACGCTCTCCACCCACTGCCTTCCAGAATCCGAGAGCCTCGTCACGTATGGCGGCGCTTTGCCCACATTCCTAAAAAACAATACGTATTAACGTTTTATCTACTTACTAGCTGTTGCCCGCAACTCTGTCCTGTGACTTAAAAAAACTTAATTATTAGCCTACGTGTCCAGTCTTTCATTAACAAAAATCTAATAATTAAAACTTTCTTATTGAGATACAACCAATTAAATTTAATAAAAATGCAAAAATTATCAGCACGTTATTGCCAAATTTGTGCTATTTGTTCCTTTTGAATTTTCAAGTCACTGGGATTACGTAGCACTTTTTGTGTTAGTTTGTGAAAATGCCTACGATAATGTAACAAATCGGGGTTAGATTAGGTATCTTAACATTTCCAATGATTGTCGTTTGTTGGTATTATATTTAAAACCTATAAGAACATAACATCGGTTTTTTTAGTATTTAATTATTTTAGTACTGTGATGGACAATGAACTTACCGAAGGTATATTCTCGGGCACGTTAGCCTGTAGAAAGAAAAAATAATAAAAATAAAAGAAGACACAATAGAATGTCGATAGAAACACTTCTATTTACATAATGTTAGGAAGAAAATCTGACACTGTGCCGGTGTATCGTGTCAACAATACCTACTACCTACCGTATTAAAATATCAACTTTTATGTCACCTAACTAATCAATCTAACTTGGTACCGCGCTATTCGAGCCAAAGGATTCTAACTATTAAAGTCAAAAAAAGAAATTCTTGATTTAAAAAATTACCACTTCATGGCTCGTTCTTCCGACGAACTTATCTATAACCGAACGGAAAGTACCCAGATCTTGCACGTCCTGTAATTTCACACCACTTAAGTATTAAAATAGACTGATCGAAAATAATGTCAGTTTATAAAATGACAAATTTAAATTAAACAATATAATAATTTTATTTTAATATTCTCAAACTTACAGCGGGTCCATATCCAGAATAGACAGCATCTATACCATACTCAGATTCCGCGGCTGGTCGGTTATCTCCGAGTAGATAGAATGTTGATTTCAAAAGATCGTACACCTTAAACATGAAGCCATAAGTTATATTTTTGCTTGCAAAGTTCATGTAAAAATTACCGGCCTTTAAAACCCATAGATGTCTCTATCCTTTCCCTAAAGGAGGCAGGACTTAGTCTGTTGGGAGCACACCTTAGGAACTAATAGAAAATGTCTCAGTTGTCAATTGATTATGTTCGCTTCTTCGAAATGAAAGAAACTTTGATGAAATTGCTACTCATAAAAAAATTACAAATTTCAAAATAAGAAACAGAAAATGTGTTTATTGTATTTCCGTAAAATCGCTTCGATTAAAATTATTAATAAGATTACTATACCATACTGTATCAATATCAACACTATGTTATTTTACATTAAACAATATATAACTATACTTACAGTGCCCACATCTTGGTCATTTATATCGTTCATTAAGTTCTTAAACGTCATGTGATACATCGCTGACATCCAAGGTTGCGAGAAGAATTCGTACAAATCATCTATCTGTTTCATCTAAAATTAAAGCATTTTATCTCTCTCACTCTTTCCGACAAAACTGAGAGAACTATACGTTTTTGCATGAAGGCTTCGGCAATGGAAACTCTTGGTTTACATACCTGGTATCTAACTAGTAGCTTATTAAAGAATGCCTCATGTTTCCCGAACAGCTGTGCGAGGTTCTCTGATGGGAATGGTTTCTTAGACAAGCACGTGACCAACACAATGCAGTGCAGTGCGTTCAGTTGCAAGCGGAAATAGTTGCCGTTTTTATCCGTTAGTAAAGTATGACCCTGGGAAAAAAGACTTATTACTTGGATACGTGGATATATAAAAAAAAACTTTATACATAGATAAGTTAAATAAAAACCACCTATTCAAGGTATAAATTCGAAAAGAAAATAAAAAAATGAATAAATAGTATCCTATGTCCGTCTCCTGGCTATAAGCTCACTAATTTTCAGCCATATCGGTAAAGCCGTTCTTGAGTTATAGATAGTGTAACTAACACGACTTTCTTTTATATATATATAGATGTGAAACTCATCTTGCTATTTTGTACAGAAAATATTGTAAAATACTTTTTAAATAACTAAAACTACCTTTAAATCAAATTAATGTCAGTTACGTTAAAGAAAAACTTTACAGGTATCCGAAATATGTCAAAGGAGGACAAATAACCGATTAATTATATTTGACCTTGATGTAAAAAAAAATAATGAATAAAAGTTGGTTACATAAAAATACTGTTTTACAAAACAACAAACATTTATTTCAGATACTAATTACGGAAAAATCTGTCCAAATTTAAAAACAAAACACACCAAATAATTCCGAGTATTTTCAAGACTATAAATATTTTCTAATGCTGAAAATACCTGTAGTGGTAATTCCATTTGCACAGCCATTGGTATTTCAATCCCAGGCCTCCTAATTTTCAGGTAATAGAGAGGACCCGGCAATGTGGCTGAATGTGTTATTGGCGAATAGAATTTCATCACTGGCTGCCAACTAAAGTGTTAAACACACAAATGTTTTGAAAATTAAATCAAAATTATACATTAGTTACATACATTGCAATCTCTAAGAATATTATAAGTAATTCACTTTTGTGTTTCGTGTAAAATAGAATATGTTTATCTTTAATTCTCATCATCATCACCAGCTCACTATATGTCCCCGAGGAGGGGCTCGGAGCCTACCCTAAGTTAAGGGTGATTAGGCCATAATCAACCAAGCTGCCCATGTGCGGCTTGGTTGACTTCACATATATCTTTGAATTTCTTCTCAGGTATGTGGACCTTTAATTCTACACTAAAATTATAAAAAGGAAAGAATTGATAGTTTTTTAGCATTGAATAGGCTCCAAAACCACTAAACCCATTTGAAATATTCTTTCAATGTTGGTAAACTACACAATCATCGGATGACATAGCTTATATTTGACACTAGTGTTTTTTTAATTCCGTGCGGATGAAGTAGAATGCAACTGCTGGTTGTTAACTAATACATAAACTAACCGTCTACATGTAGGTAGTTGGAATCGCGATTCACTACTGTAGGTGCTGCCGTAAACAGAACTTTTACATCTGCAAGGAGTAAAATAATTTACTTTTACAAATAACGCAATTCACTTTACTTTCAAGACAATGATTTATATTAACTTACCCTAGAACACTGGAGCTGTATCGTGAGATAATTTCCGATGGGCAAAGATCAAGATCTGTGATCGAATTCATAAAAGGATCTAATTTTTGTAGGAATAGTGCTGCCAACTGAAACATTAATAGATATATATCAGATGTCTGACCATATTCGTCGAAAGACTATCAGAAAGGCTATTTAATTATAAGATATAGATTGCAAGTATGGTATGAAAAACGAACACTACATTCATTTTCAATACAAATTAAAAAAATTGACCTAGTTGTGCTAGCTGGTATTATTTCGAAGCCTTAAAACCCAAGCTCACCGCTTCGCCAATGTCCTCTGAGCAGTAATACTTCTGCGCTTGTGCTTGCGCGTACAACCGACGCGAGTACTTTGTGCACGTGCCCGCGCCGTGCACACTCGGGTCGTTCGTCTCAAAGCCAGTGCCCACCACCAACCCACCATCATATACCAATCCGCTCTCCGTTATTGCTAAAACAGAATTTATCAAAGCTCGTAAAAACAATACGATAATGACTGGAGTCATACGACCAGTTCCATGACCATACGGAAGACCGTCGTATTTTAAGTTTTAATATCCTGTAAGATCAAGCCTGACGAACTGTTGATACTCGCTAATAAAGTCGTCACGTAACTATCATTGATTCTTGTACTAACATGTAAATATATTTCAAATAAAGCGCAGTTCCACCAACACAAAACGTTACCTTTAAAAGAGTTGACATCAATAGCCTTAATGTCGTAGTAGAAGAATGCAAAACAAGAGAGGGTAATTGCCTGCGTGTACGTCATGAAATGCAGCAGCTCTATGCGACTGCCTGATAACTTCCAACCCGTGTAGTAACAGCGCCTGTACACTTGGATGCCTAACTCTGATATACTAGATTGTACTCGCTCGTCCACCTAAAAACCAGTAGAGAATTAAAAAGCAAACTGTTTTAGCATTAAACTGTTGTAGCTAAATTACGAAAGATATGATGCTGAATATAGTGTTGTCAGTCCTTATTGCATATAGAGACATAAACATTTATTATTAAACTTATGAACGTCAATATTGAATACTAAAAAGTCTTCTATTCTTATCTTTTTAAATTGTAAATTACCATAAAGGTTCTCGACTGAAAGTGTACAAATATTACATACTGTTTCGTTATTAAAGCAGTTTACTCTCAAAGCATTAGTATTTTCAGGAGGGAATGGTTCGACAAACGTGATCATATCAGCTGCAATTCCTAATTCGAGTAATGCAGCGATACAAGAGTAGGCATCTATACAGTCACCGTAAACTATAATTTTATTGTCTTCATTTAAACCGTTGAATGACTCTTCTAAAAACAAAAGCACTTTAGCAAATGAAGACTTCTTACATGAAACATACGAGGATACTAACAACAATATCCTATAATAACTGTATTTTAACACTTCTTAAAATGTTCTATTTATCTCAAATTTTTATATTACTTAACTAACAAACGAGAAAAATCACATTTTAAACAGCTTAGTACATATTAAATTGACTCGACAAAATTAACAAGCATAAACAAAAGTTGAATATCTTTTTCAATAGACTTACTTAAATCACTTATCATCCTCAGTAATTTTCTGAGGCCCGTATTTGCGTCGAACAGTGAGTTAATAAGCATCAAGTTCTCCGGCATCTCCGTGAACGCTGAGACTCTGTCAGGTCGATACAATGGATTGTCCATAGGTAATTTGTCACAGTTAATTTTTTTTTCCCTGCGTCGAAATTAAAAACTTTAATACTTATTTAACGTAAGTACAATATTTTTCTCATTATAATTTCATCAATATCATAAATGATATGACATTTCGATTGAAAACACCGACTTGTATTGAATTGATAAGAAGAAATGAAGACGTACTTTAACAATCGATCTCGCGCTAACTGCTCCTTCAAGTAATCCGGATGTTGGAACTGCTGACCACACGTCAACACTAGGTCGTCATAATGCTTCACCAGCCCGCCTTTCAAATAGATGCATTTCTTCTGCCTGAAAAGACATCAAAAGGAATAACGAGGTATTACTAGGTTGAAATAGAGAGTAAATTATCGACGAACCTGTCAATTTTAACCATGATCCCAGGGACAACATCCATGTAGAAGTAGTAAGGCACACTCTTCAGGTATCTGTCAGTGTAGCGACCATCACGCGGCACGCAGCGGTCCGCAGCGCGTAGACACTCGCCCACAGTCGGCAATCCGTGTTCCGATACCAGTGTTATATTTGTAAAAGTCAAGTACGGGGATGTTGGCCTAGAATCGAAAGTAACTTTGTTACAGCCAACTTCAATTGGTCCACTTCTATCGTCTACTAGGGATGACCACGACTACAATACAAGCGTACAGTATTCTTTATTTAGTCTGATAAGTAAAGTTACAAAACATATACTTTGAATGTACTAAGAATACTTGCTTCATTTAGAAGCCTGGTACTATTTAATATCGCTTTACGCTGATTATTGTATTTATCATTGCCGGTGCTCAAGATTTCAAATCCGCAAGTAACTTACCCCATTATCAATGTCTCTAAAAATGAAAGACCAGTGCGGCTGGCCCCAACGACTACTATGTTCCGGTTGATGTAGATCTTTGGCAGACTGGTCATCGGCCGGTCTACTGTCCACAGCGCGAATGGTGCCGAACTGAAATAACTCTTATTAGATTTCAACTATTTACTACTATAACTTCTTGGCAACTATAACTTAAGTGCTTAGTAGACTAGAACAAAACTACCTTTCCTTGTAACTCTTGTCCTTATCGTTTTTGCCAGCATGACGGTATGGGGGTACAGGCATCATGTGACTTGCCATTGACATCAGGTTGCGAACAGGACTCTAGAATTATGATAACTATTACTAGCCGAATTTACATTTGAGAAACATTTAAGGATTTCATTTTGATGAAATCTTTAGACTTCAGTAGTAAGAAACCCAAAATATGAACCCCAAATATGAACATGTAGAAAAAACATTAGTACATGTATTTACATCATAGTTACAATTACAGTTGCTAGGATACATACTGTCTTAATGCAAAAAGAAAAAGGTTTTTAATAACAATAGTTTCCATACAAACACAATCATACTTTTGCTTTAACTTATTGGATATATTATTAGAACCAATAAAGTCCTTAATTACTATATTAATTATAAAATAAAATCAATATCTTACTGAATCTCCTTTGGCCAAGAGACGACAGGTCCAGAATAATTGTGTATAAGGACTTTGACGCAGGACATCGCGCATGTACCAACGACTGTGTGGTTCTATTGCAGGAGACAGAACGCCCGCCAAAATCTGAAGTTAGTTCTATTTAGTTCAATACAGTTCACAAAAAATAAAGAAGACCCTAAGTCATAATGTACTGTAACTTGGTGTCTTCTAAAAATGTTGGTGAAGCTATACTTTCACTTTTTTCTTTTCATAATTTCACTAATATAAATAAAATGATTACTTACATTGCCATCACTTCCAGCACGGTATGGTTCGGGTTCTAAGGAGTATTGAACCCGCAAGGATATAGGATCTTCCACAGGCCTGCGATACACAAAGAGTTTATTTTCAACAATTTCAGTACGATTATGTAACCTCCATCGTGAACAATACACAGCGTTTGAGGTCATTGAAATAAGAAGGGTAAGACTAATAGAATTTGATTGGATTTAGTAAGGTTTACAGCCATGTATTCTGGTTACGGTAAGTGGTGTCAAACAAGATACTGAACTACGTTTTTATTTCATCATCGCTCAATATGTTAAATGTTGAAAATGGTCTAAGTTTTTTCTCAGACTTCTAATTTACGTTTGTTGAAAGTTGGTATTCCTAGTTATGCATAGACAGATAGAATATATTGAGCTATATTTATCTATATATAAGCCGGGTGTAAGAATGGATTGCTATTATATGAATTTGTTACGCGAGCACGACGACTCCGACGGGTTGGTTCCTGCTGGCCAGTACGTAAGTGTCGAGCGCATCGCTTGAGAAGCTGGATTCGATCAGCTCAAGCAAGTCGTTTTTGCGCGGCGCGTGCTCCAGGATGTCGCTCAGGTACTGCATGTCGTACTCCTCCGCAAAACGCACACTCACCTCACTGTTGTTTTATTAAATTTACAATTAAATTAAATGTTGGTTATTAATTACGTATTTAAAGGATAGGGCATATAGAAATCTCTAAATACCCTCATCTAGGAGGGACAAGTTTAATCCATTATTTAGTTATTATATATTTTTATCAAAAAATATAAGCAGAACTTACCCTTTAACAGAATTTATATGCGCAACAAATAGAGATTCATTCACGAAACGTCCGCTAGTGTTATAAGGTGTTACAAGCTGCAAAAAAATATTTTTGCCTTGTATTCCTGGTTGCACTTTTAGTTAGCAATGAAAATACTTAAAATGTCTTAAATGAGATGTTGAACAATACCAAAATCAACTTACTATTATAATAGCATACTCTTCAGTAAAGTAAAATGATTACGTTGGTCATAACCGTCAAACCAATAATATATATATATATTTATCTTACGAATGTTGTATGGCGAACAAGAATGATTAATTAATTCTAAATAATATTCTAAATACCGTGAAATGTTCAAGCAAAGGGAAAGATGGTTCGCTTGAAGGTAAGCACATAACGCAATAATCTCTGCCTGGAAGCGTTTCAAACGCCGCTTCTAGCAACTGAAAACCGAATCTGTGAAAATTAAATAAAACTACGTATAAAATTTTTTAAAGAAAAAAGAAATAATATATTAATTTTCTTATGACCTTTCATCATAATCCGGATGCATTGCGAACAGTTCAATAATAAAAGCATTTGGCGGACCGGAATACCTCGGCGGTTCAGGCATCTTGCCCGGAGGCGCAGATGACACTATCAAAACATATAACACAATTAATAATAAAACCTTAACAGATATGTTTTCTCCATGATGACAGAGTCATGGAATAAGTGGGCTAATATCACTTAAATTTTAAACCACAAAGCTATTCCTGCAATCCTAATCACTATTGGAGACTAACGAATTATTCAGTAAAATATTTGAACTTTATGAATAAACCAAAATTCTACGACTACTTACATGATTTTTTCATTTTGTCTTTCTTTACACACTTATCATCGGTAAAAGACAAAGAGTCTCGACGTCTATCGTCTAATATTTTAGATAAATTAGCAACTCCGCTAAAAAAAAAAACAAAAGAAAAATTGTATCCAAAAACATAGATGCTTTACCAAGGTACCCAGAAGTTGGGTCATTCTAATTAATATTACGTTTTAACCGATGTAATAAAAAGTTTCAATTATAAAACTTGCTAACCCCATCGCTGCTTTTGATAATTCTTCATAAGAGAGCAACCGAGGTATTCTTAACAAATGTGTATCAATGTTAACAATATCAAATTCCAATTCCTCTTCGTCGTCATCCAATAGGTTCATGATGTCCAACTGAGCTTTAGTACTGAGATGTGACACTTGCGAGGACAAATCTTTTTCTTTTATCCTTTGAGTGAAACTGTCCACCCTTTCAAGTTCTTCTTGCACCTAAGAATAAATGACAACCAAAACTGTATTCGTGATACACAAAATAAATATTCTCGCCTCACCTTTTTAAACAAATATAATATTTTCAATGTGTTTTTATTATCAACTAGCTGTTGCCCGCGACTCCGTCCGCGTGGATATATAAGGAAAAACTTAATTAGTGTAGCCTATGTGTTCTTTTAGACTATATTCTATACGTATGCCAAATTTAATCAAAATCCGTTCAGCCGTTCTAGAGATATCTTCTAACATCCATCTATCGACATCACATCCATATAAACATTCGAATTTATAATATTAGTAAGTTAAATAAAAAGCAGCTCTGCAAGGCATAAAATTGGAAAAAAAAGAATAAATAGTATCCTATGTCCGTCTCCTGGCTCTAAGCTACCACCTCACCAATTTTTAGCCATATCGGTAAAGCCGTTCTTGTGCTATTAATAGTGTAACTAAAACGACTTTCTTTTATATATATATATATATATATATATATATATATATATATATATACAGTTAGCTAACAAATTATATATATATATATAATTTGTTAGCTAACTTGAAATGTAATACCATTTTCCAATTCGACAACATTATAGGATATTGTTTCTACTCTTCCTATAGAATGAGAAATCATCAAATGACAGGTATTTGTTCTATTTGATCGCATTTTGACGTAGCATGGCTTAATGGACAGACTTACCGTACTGGATTTAACCTCTAAAACCACATCCACGGGAAGACCAATATCGGTAAGTTCACCGACTTGATTAACGTTGTTTTGTATACCTAAAAGGCTATAAAAAGTATTAAATCACATGTACATTCCAATATAGATTCTCGTTCTTCGAAATGCAAACTATGTTATAAGAATGAATCATTTAAAATATACCTAAACTAGAATTCAATATTATATCGCATCGTAGCTTAAACTGCTTAAGCCCTCATTCATTACTAAGGAAAACCCTTTTTTATAAAGAGAAATACTTTCTCTACTAAGGGACGAGTCGCTTAAGCTATACAGACAAACCTGAGTGTCGACTCGCCGTTCTTGCTTTGTTTTATATTGGATTTATCTTCAAGATGCCTCAGACCCGCGAAAGGGGACAGTTCAAAGCTCTCCTCCAGAGCCTCAAAGTTGATTTGGGTGTTCAGACACATGACACCAACGGCCAGTTCCTTATGCTATACCAAAAATCAATACAAATTGATATAATGGGTATATTAAGGTTACACCTTTATATCTATTTAATATAAGCGATATATATTTTTTAAGATACAATACCTCGCAGACAAGTATGACCCGCTCAGATTCGGGGTGGCGCGATATGAGTTCGCTAATGTAATAATCTCCGTAGAGATCACGCATGCGTCGCGAACGTCTTTCAATTATTGGAAGCAAGTCGTCGTTGTCTTCTTCCCTAAGAAATGTATGATGTATTTTAAAATCTTATAAGAAAACGCCCTACTCGATCGCAATACTTAAGAAATAGAATTAAAATCACGCACTTATTTTTATATACACGTTGTTGTGAATACCAAAAAAACGTATTTCATTTTAATATTTGCTCTAGTTTGTTCTTCAAGGAGTGGAAAAATGTTCGAACGGGTTTTTATTTACGTACGACATTTAGGTAAATAATTAATTCTCATCAAATAAAAATCTTTATATATCTTACACAGCTCTTCTGATACGCAGTTTTAAGCAAACATCACTTCTCTCCGCGATCTGTAGAGATGGAAGTTTGTCTCCGGGTACGCCTCGTTCCATCACTTGTACGCGCCTAAAGGACATCTCGTATCGTGGCTGACCAGGCACTAGAACTGAGCATAGCATTATTTTCTTCTACATTTCATAATAAAGGTCCTTTTTTTATAACAGAAGGGGGCAAACGAGCAGCGGGAACACCGAGGTGTTCAACAACGCCCATGGACATCAGCAATACCAGAGAATTTTATGTTGTTCGTACACTGCTAAGGACTGTCAATAATATAATAAAGCTAGCTAATAGCATTTGCTGTGTAAAAGTATTTTCTAAAACATAAATTATTTTAGTACAATTTACAATCTTTCGACCATATACTTCTTAAATTTAGTTGTCAAGCGTTAGATAAATCAGAATTTCTTACCAGTATTACTTGGAATGCTTTTTACCATAGCGATGTATTGTAGATATGGGTCATGCATGAACACAGATCTCAGCATATTATCAACGATCTCTCGCCCATAAGAAGTACTCCAGCACATTAAATGTACAAATAGCGTGTTCCTGGCTGTTAGTTCTACAGCTCTAAAATAAGAATGCTTTATTTACAAACACAAAACTTTTCGTATGCTTACCACACTTCTATTTAAAAAAAATTACTTCTTAAAATATCACAATGGTAAAATCAAACGTGCTTTTAAGTATTTTCGTAGTATTTAGATTAAATACGTACTTATATTTCGTCCAAACATAGTCCTCCCATGACGTTGCACAAACTGAGGGTATAAGCGGAAAATCTTGCAGAGCTAAAAACCCAACCACGTGATCCCCTTCGTTCAATTGGCATATAGATAATACGCAGGTCTTTCTGCAACAAATACCTTAAAAAATCTAGCTCCAAAATGCCTTTATTTCCAATCTTACTTCTTACTAATATTATGTCTTACTATTTATTATTATATTATAAATGCGAATGTTTGGATCGATGAATAGGTGGGCCTATGGATGGATTTGAAGTTATCGCCAGAACGACTGCGTGAATCTCGCTGAAACTTGGCATAGATGTAGAGCATAGCCTGGAAGAATACATAAGCTACTAGTTACGTTTTTTTTTTAGTTCCACGCGGACAGAGTTGCGGGCGACAGCTAGTATGCTATGATTTATACTTACATCAAGTGAAGAATATCGTTAGACGTATTGATTCGAAAGTTCTCAGCCATATTTTTATTCACTAGGTCATATATTTTTAGACCATCTTCTAATTCAGCCAAACGCAAAGATCCCAACTCAGAAACGAATCCAGGTCTAGATACCATTTTCATAAAAGTCTTGCGAACAAGTTCTAACAAAGTGCACAATTGTTCATCTATCAATGTTGAAGTTGCCAATTTTGCAGGACACAATTACTCTATGGTTTTGACATTTTAAGAGCAAAGTGCAAAGCAGTTTTTGTGTTGTCGTCAGTGGACACCTAACAGGCAAGAGCAACGTTCCAAGAGTTTCGGATTTGTAGAAAATTTTTATATAGCCGATTTCGGTCACATCAAGCAACACACGTCATCAATATCCTCTTAAATGAGGTTCAGGCTAAGCGCCATCTGCGCTCGGCCACCTCAAGCCCGGTGAAGCTGTAATGCCTCTTCAAGGCAGTGACTACTCAGCCACAAAAAAAAAGTCCTCAATATTCCAAAATAATACTTCAAATAGCATTACGAGACAGAAGCAAAGTACGGGCGAAACTATTATTTACGTGGTTAGGTATAAAAATAATAAATACAAAAGATTAGACTTAATTTATTTAATATCCTTATATTCAAGCTGAATTTTAGAATACACAAAAACGTAAATCATTGGAAAAAAAAGCTGCGTCGCATGCGACGAATCTTTTTATATTGAGCCTAAAAAATAATTAAAACTAAAAACACTTCATTGAATCGATTGGTATGCTTAATATACAAATAACGTGTAAATAACCTAATAAAAATAATTTAATTCTGTAACAAATATCTATTTCTAATTATCATCAATATATAGATGACTTCATTGCGTGGATTTCTTTGGAGCGATTAGGTCGACATAACTCCCTTCTTAAAAACATATAAGTAATTTTAAAAAGCAAAAATTGGATATTATTTTACGCCTAAAAAGAATAAACTTTACATGCAGACAATCTGATACATCTAGAAGAGGAGTCAATTTAAAATTTCATAATAAACTAAAAACTTAAGCAAAAATGAAGACTTAATTTTTCTTAGCTACATGTTACTAACTAAATCAAACCAAACGCTTTTTAATGATTTTTTATTGTTTGTGATGTTTGGAAAACGGTTTTAAATATAATTAATTTAAGGGATTTTGCTTATATTTCAATAAAGCGCTATTTAATAAGATGAATTGATTTGCTGATAAAAACGCGTTTGATTTGAAAAAGAGAATAGGCGGACTTAAAGTACAAATAGAAAATTAAGAATATATTATTTTTAATTTATATTTGTGGTCTTAATTTTTAATATTTCGATTTATTTTTTTTTAATTTTACTTAATCGATAATGAAGTTCCTAATGAGATTGATTTTGTGATAACTTGTTTTATATTATTCTTGTTATTTGATATAAACAACAATTCAAATTGGTTGCTGGCCATATTTTTTAACTTCTGAAAGACGACAAAAAAAACAGAAAAACAGACGAAAGAAAGCAAAAATTAATTGCGTTCGAAATTATATTTAAATAAATTCCAATAAGCCGTTAAAATTTCTTAGAGATTTCAAAGTATACCAATATTTACGGCGGAATGACTTTTCAATATGAAGTTCAACAAAATTTTTTTGTTGACCTTTGCAATTTATTTAAAGGAATTTTGTAGTTCATAGAATGTCAACACATCCTGTACTAAAGGTTAGTTTTGAAAAATGTATATATTAACGAAAATGAATTAATAATTATTTAATTATTTCGAACTCAAAGATCTCTGTCAGTATTATGGAGTACTCAAAAGCTCTCAAGTACAAATTTATGTGAAGATTATAAACATGACAATGCAATAGAAATTTACCTTAACGTTAGAAAAACAATCTATGAAACGGTATACATTTTAATATACTCAAGTTAAAAATAAAAAAAAGATTAACCTAGGAAAATATGTACAAAAGTTTCAAGGTCATTCTGAGGTGTTTTATCGGTAACATTTTTAAAGCAGTGACCTAACAAAATTCATCTTTGTGACCCAAACAATTAATGAAATCAACTAGTATCAATGATTATGCTGTAAACAATTCTTATAAAAAAAAATATAGGAGAAATATAACACACAATATGTTATAAAATGAAAGTTGTTAACCGTTGAACTTCACTGCTGTGACATTTGTATTGTTATATATTGCCATCCCTTTCATTTTTAGTGGCAAAAAAGAGACAACATACTTCTACAATTCACGGCACATTTACGATAAAAATTAACGTCTATTTAGCACAATAATCTTTACATTCACTAAAAGCTGGAAATGTTGAGATGTACAAAAATATTTTCACTGTATATTTGATTATTTTTTACATATTTTTATCTGTTTATTATTAAAAAAAATATTTCAAATAAAATATATTAATAACTTATCAGCTCACTATTGCATATTTACTTTGATTTTGAACACTATTGCTATGTTAGTCATGAACAATAAGACACTATATTTCATTCATATACATAGATATATAACCTTTAGCGTTCACACGCGACTCCGTTCACGCGGAATTAAAAAATACCATAATTAGTAGCTTATATGTTCTTCCAGACTATGTTCTATATGTATGACAAATTTCATCGAGATTCTTTCAGTCGTTCTAAAGTTGGCTTTAAACAAACATCCATCTATCTAAACATTCGCATTTACAATATTAGTAAGATATCGAGATAGATGAAGTGTTTCATAAGTCTAACCGAGACTCGAATTGTAAAATATTTTGTATTGTAAATACCAACATTAAGGGATTTTATGCCTATAAAACCTCTTCCTTTTTGAAAACGGTTAAAAAGAGCTTATTTTCCCCTCAATGTTGTATGCAATGGATTTTTATAGGTTATATATCTATAATTAAATCGTATATCTAAAAGCAAATGGACATGTTAGTTATAATATGATTATGTCATATGAAACTAACTATTTACTGTCACTTATATTTATAATATAAAACTATTTTCTTTAACATCATTTAACTTCTGAATAATAATCAGAATATTTTATTTAATTTTCATTTTAACATGAGATTTTATAAAAAAAAAAAAAACGTGTAATTATAATTGATATGTAAAAATAACAAATATCACGTAAATATTTATTTTTACTAAAGACGCATCGCAAATATTATCCAATTTCACTACGTTAGTTCAATGGCCGCCATCTTAAATAAAGTTTCTTTACAACATTTTGTTTTTGATTTGAAACACACTAATTCAAAGATATGTGTGAAGTCAACCAACCCGCACTTGGCCAGCGTGGTTGACCCAATCACCATTAACTTAGGATAGGCTCCGAGCCCCTCAGTGGTGACATATAGTGAGCTGATGATAGACTATAAAATCTCATGTTAAAAGAATATATCCTATTTATATTACAGTTTCTAACATGCGAGTATATGTGACGTGTAAAATAACTTAAGGCAAGTAGGATTATTATACAACTAATTTAAACTTATACTAATTCCAATAAAATCTATTTAACACAGAGATCATTACAATATGGTGAAACTGTTTTTAGTTATTTTTATAAGCTATTATCATAACTGTTAAAAAATATACAAAAACGTATTATTACGTAAGGTTATTTTTTTAATTGAGAAAACAAATATGTTAACGCGATTTTAACAAGCGTTAATATCGCGTCTTTGATTGGGATTTTTTAAACCTTTTATATTATATTAGAAAAAAGTATTTTTTCTGCATAATTTATAATATAAATACAAAACAAACTTCTTTGTTTTACTGAAAAAAAAATGTAAAAACATAGTCCATTATAGCAAAATAAAAAAAAATATATTTTTTAAATTTATAAGACATGGATGGTAAAAACTGTATGTTTATATAACCTTTAAGGAATGACGAATGAACAAAATGAATGAAAAATTTGAAGTGTTTTAAATTTTAAAGTAATAGTGCTCTACATAAACTTAAAAAAAATCTTATATCTAATTCCAAACTTATAAATATATTTACAAAGGTGAAAAAAAAAACCTTCCGTTTCCGTATACTGACTCATATTACAAAACTAGATCTTTTCACATCCTTACTATCACCTGATATACATTTGAACTTATGTTAGGAATCATCACTCAGAGACATTTAAATAGTCATAATTAAAAGACACCCTTAAATATTTCCTTTGTAGTTTTCTCATACTGACTATTTAGTAAGAGAAAGCTACACTAAAGTATTGCTTAAGCAATGATTCGTCTCTGAGTGTATCAGTAATTTATAAATATAAACATTACAATTTAATTCTATATTTATAGTTTTGTTTGTTTTAATAGCTTGATATAACTATTATTGCTTGTCAGATACTAAATTGTAAAAAATGGTGTTTGTCAACTTTAGAATATGTTTCTTTCTTATCATATAAATTGGAATGAGCTATTTTAATGTCAATTCTTTTCTTTACAATAGAAAATATGTCAATAAACATGCTTTTTTTAATTTTAATTACTTATTTATGAGAAATATCAATATATATTACCAACACGTCAATTTAAAAAAAAAAGAATTTACTTTCACATAAACAGTATTTCATTTCTTACTCATACTTCTACATTTAAAAGAATTTATTACTATAATAAAACAAATAATAAATATCAGTACATCCAATTGATTAATTTCGACATAATTAAATATATACACTTAAATGTAAGTTTTTATCTAACGCAACTAAATTCACGAAATAAAGATAAATATTACAAACTTATATATAATTTCCTTACATATGTAAAGAGATGAGATACTCCAATACTCTATATTACGAGCGTAAGTGTTCTAGAGGTTAATTCAATATATTTGGAGGCTCAAGGTCATCTGCGCATGCGCACTAACTTCTAACATAATGTTCTGTGCACTCGTACGATGTTCCGAGCGGCCAAGATATATGAAAACGTCTATATATATTTGTATCGGTGTTATGTATTGCAGCGTGTCCGCTTGTATGTCTTGCATCACTTGGCGGGCTTGTGCTTCGGTGGAGTGGTCGGCGGCCCGCCCTGCTCCGCCGACGCGCCGATAGCCACGCCTTCGCTGTCTACCTCCGTCTAAACAAATGTTCAATAGATTAAACTCCCAGATAAAAAAAAAACTTAATTAGTAGCCAATGTTTTCTTCCAGGCTATGTTCTACATCTATGCCAAATTACATCGAGATCCATGCAGCCGTTCTGATGATACATTCTAACAAACATCCATCCATCTATCCAAACTTACGCAATTGTATTAGTTACATAGATATCGTCAGCTCTATTTAGGAGTTAAATAGGCTGTAGGCAACCTCACTGGGCCAAGTTAATTAACCAACTTCACACATATCTTCTTGTTTCTTCGCTGATATGTGCAGGTTACATCACAATGATGTAATATATATTTATAGAGAACACTAAAACAATTTGAAACTAAATATAAACATTTTACCTTCTCATCTTTTGCGTTAGCTTGCGGGGAAGCGGTGCCATTCCCGCTGGTGTTATCAGCTACATTGTCACCACCTTCTGTACTTGTTGTACCTACAATTGCAAAAAGTTTTATATAACATTTCCCTTGATGTAAAAAATGGTTACAAAAATAATACAACAGTAGTCAAATTGATGATTTTTTTTATATTGTAAGGTGACAAACGAGCAAGCGGCAACTTGAATTCGCCAAAATAGCGAAGCGACCGCTGCCCATAGACATCCGCAAGTGCAGATACGTTGTCTAACTTTAATCGACAGAAAGGCAGAGAATATATCCCTTTGTACTCGTCTGCTCTACAAAATCCACTTCCCTTTCTTTATAAGAGGGTTGGGGAAGAGAAAGAGTTATAAATATCATGTTAATAATTTAAACAAACCTTGTTGTATATGATTTGCACTTCCACGATCGGCTTCGTGTTCCCGCAGCACCGCGTCCAAGTTGTAGCGACGTCGATACGTTATGAAGAAAGTACGGACGTGGGCTTCTGTTTTCGTGCCGAGAGTTTCCGCGATGGCTTGGAAATCTTTGCCTGTATCATATCAATTACTATTGAGTCTCACAGCTACGAATAGTTACTCTTATAGTGACTCTACGATATCCGAAATGGGAAACAAATTAAATTCTTTGACTGTTTTTAATTTCTATCGGATGACTATTTAGGTGGTTAGTTTTTCTTACCATATTTCCTTACTGCTGTAACTGCCATTAACAATTCATCATTTGTCCAACGCGCGTTAATCTTTGCAGGGGGTTCCCCGGGTCTGAGTTCTTCAACTCCCGCGTCTCCAACTTTACGTTTCATGGCACTTAATTGTTGCTTATTCTGTTGAACCTGTTGTAATAATTTATGTTAAGGTAAAAGGCCTTTAGATAAACAGCAGAAAGTTCTAAAGTGGAAATCATTGCATATCTGGATCATCCAAAATCTACATGGAAAAGGAATTGGCGAAAAATATATATTTCGGTATAGGCCTCCTATGAAGCGAAGCTATAGTTGCTGAGAAATGTGTGCAGAATACATTTTATTATTGCCATGAGATGATGGTACTAAATTCATCTATTTACAAATGAAATACTCATTTAGCACATTCTCACATTACATCACACAAACATGTGTCAACTCTGAACTGACGCGTATTAACCGAATGATAACGAAACTAAACTATTCGCAAAGTTGTATCGCAAGCCACGCACGCGGTGTCAACGTAAAAGTGAGAATGTCTGGGACATACTGAGTAGCGATGGCGTTACATCTCTTACTTGTCTCTTGAGCGATATGATCTCTCTGTCCATAGCTTTGAGCATGGCTTCGCCCTGATTGATAATGCCGGGCTGCGGAGGGTCACCGGGCTGCGGACCTGTTGCCATGGCAACGAGATCGTCATGATTGATGTAAATGCCGCGCGGCAAACGATGCTTGTATCTCTGTTGCTTGCCGGGGCCGCGTCGTCCCGACGGACCGCAAAGCGGCCGCATCGTCCCCGTGCGTCTGTCATATTACCAACCATACAACTTTCCCTTCTCACGTTTTATACAACTTTCTCACTAATATAAAAATAAAACGTCTAATTGTTAATCGATTGAATCGTAAATAGTAAATTAAAATTTAATTTTAGGTCAAAAAATCCTATGTTTTATTGTAATCAGGGATATTTTAAAATCAATATTTACAAGAAGCATTCTGTTAGGTATCGATTAAAAACCGTACTTGGATCGTAAGTGTAGGTTAAAAAAAAACATGCAAATGATCAATAAAGGGATACTCGAAATGAAATTGTTGATTACGTTACCGACCTGGCGTGCACGAGGCATGCCTGACACAACTTCTGGGAATTGTGCGGCGTCGTTTGTGTGCACAGAATGCCGCAGACGGTGCACCACTTGCTCGCACCGCCGCCGCCCTCGCCCTAAACCCCAACAACATTTTACTGTCCGACCTTCACAACACAAGCCTACACATAGACCTACACGAGGACAAACAACTCTCTGTGCCTCCTCACACACTTCGTTTAATAACCCATTGACATAAAAAAATGATATTCTGCACACATTAACAACAATACACAACATTTTTAATTCTCAAGGGGGCCGTTAAAGGAAGCATGCGGGAACTTCAGTGTTCAGGTGATGGGAACAGGGTTGGGATTAATCGTAAAACGATTAAAATAGATATTATTTTATTAGCATATTATGTTACAAAATTCAGTGTGCTACACCAACTTATTATAAGGAAATCATGTATGGTGATTTTAATTTTAATTACTACATCTGTTTCATACTTGGCCAGTTAAAAAAAAATCGAAATCAGTGTTTTTTTAATTTTCAGCGTGAAACAGATGAGTATTTCCATTACCTAATAATGATATATTTGACAATCACATTTACAGCCATAAACAAAATGTATTACAGTTATGGTTTCAGACATAGTTTGTAGATAAAAATGCAGAGCATTCAACATAAACAAAAAGCACAGAAAAGCAAAATAAACAAATTATACACATATAAAAAATTTCAAGGCAAAACCGACAATGGTAAAATCCTACAACAAAAATTTTAATCAGTTAAAACATAACTTGAATGAAATATTAAAAGTGTGATTTGATGTAATTATGATATAATTTAAGTTTAAATTCTTGACAATGCTTTAAAATAATAAATAAGGTGCACAACTTTTCGCATTGCAGTGAAAAATAGAAGTTTATCTAACACTCAACATAATTAGCAGAGTATTACGTGGATTTCAAAGACATTTAACACCGAAAATTGTTAACATGACAACATCTGGAGGGAAGTAATAACCCACCTCGCCTTGCTGTCCAATACGAAGTGAGGAGCCACCCGAAGTAAGAGACTTGCCTCCGCGGACAATACCTCGGTGGTTATTCCATTTCTGTCATGTCCAATATAAGCCCATCATAACATTTTAAACTTTTATAAGCACCAATAATATATCCTTACGTAGGACTTCCTAGTGACTGTGTACGTTTAATGGATTTATTGAAGTACCAATGTATGTTAAAATGATGTACTCTGCATTTATATTTACTCACTATGTGTTTTATTATAATATTGGACAATCCAGATACTACATAATACTGGAGAATATTTTTTTGTCCATAATTATAAATGGCATACAATAAATTGAGCAATATAAATTGACAAATATTTATGAGCACTAATGGAATACACATACATACCTTTTCATCATTGTCTGAGTCCTTATCAGACACGCCTTGCTCGGAGCCCGCTCCGGATTCCCTCTTTCCTGTACCTGAACCGGTAGCATTACGACCTTCACCGACTACATCCATCAATGATGTGCGAGCTCTTGTTTTTTTCCATGAATAATAATATTTTACCAATGATGCAATGGATTTATCAGGTAACTGTTGAAGATCATAATAATGTTAATATTTTATGATAAAAAAATTAAATTTAACAACTTGTAAAAAAGAAATGCACCATTTGCCTTATTCTGTGGAAGCTCTTTCCGTGAAATTGAAAAGCTTGTTCAAACAGAACTTTATCTTCAACTGTCCATTCATCAGGGAAAGGTGTGAAGTTAGCAAGATCCATGGAAGCACGACTGAGATCATGTTTATGCCAAAACAACATTCCTAATGCTTGTTCACCATTGTACCCATACTTTTCCTTTGCTGTTGTTATATATTCATCCACTAAAACAACAGTATAATTCATTAAAATACAGTCAGTAAAAGTTTGAGTAACATTTTTTATAATTCTTACTCACATTTAATGTCAGATATATCAGATGTCGGTGACCAAACCAACAAAGCTCTATCAGATATTTGTTCAGGTTTCCTTTGCTCCACAGGCTCCAGCTCGGGACAAACTGCCTGATAATCTCGACCCACTCTTATCTTCTCAGCTGCAAATGGTACTACTGCTTGGTTTCGTATTAAATGAGTTGATGATGAGTACGCAGCATGTAGGCGAATGATGGAAAGCATAAAAAATAAAGCATGATATGAATTTGCTTCAATAGTAATTACCAAAGTTTGAGTACAGCAACACAAGTGAAAATTATGAACACCAATGAATAATGATTATTATAGATAGATGAAGAGACTTACACCACTTTTTACATGCACGAACCTAATAGAAAAATAAATATACCAAACACCAATTTACATATTCATGGAATCAAACTTAAAGGTTTTTTACCGTTCTCATCTTCTGAGCTTGAATCAGGACTTCCATGGCCATTAGGGCTCGGCCCTCTCGATCGCTTCCCGTTTCGAACATCACTGCTTCGTTCAGCCAACACCATGATTAACTAATTTTACACTCAATGCCAGTAGCACAACACGAATTACGTACAACTCACTTGTTTACCTATTTTATGTTATGACTAGAAAACAACAAAACGCAAATAAAACTGAATGCGAAGCTTCGCACTTCAATTCAAACGTGATTCAAACCACCGCATCAATAATTTGACAAACCAGCGACGGGTTGTAATGATACATTACAAGGCGTCTGTACCGCAGGCATTCACTTTGACCTATACAAGAATAATTTATTTCAGAGTAAAGAAAAGCAGGATAATGATTTCAGTAATAGCTTAGATGATCATATTTCCTTACTGTATTATTTATACTATAAAAAAATATATTTTTAAAATACAAATTTTTTTACAAAATTTCAAGAGGATTTTTTCCTTCAGGCAACATCGCGGTACAGGCTTACTTAAATGACTTGAAACATATAATTTACAAAATAAGTCGTATTTCTAAGGATTTCTCAGAAAACATCATTAAAACTTCGTAAATTTACATTATTATGAATTATTTTATAATTATAATTACCAACATTTCGTTGAAAATAATCAATTTTGAAAAAATAAATAGTTCTTTAGTTTCGTCTCCCCGATACTTAAAAGATGGCGCTACTATGAGTAAATGACCGGACTACGGTTTAATACAGTTTCTCTTATTTCATTTCTTTAATGACTAACATGCCTGCTGTGGTTAAATATATTATTCTTTATTAATATCAATAAATTAATGTACAATAGTTGTAAGGAAAATATTAAAGACGTGCCATTTATTGCATATTTGGCCAATAAATGGCATAAAATTACGCATTGGCTATTTGTATAACTTGCATTTTTAAAACTGGTTTATAATATTATATGGTCCATTAAGGATTTTTATCATTAAATACCTTGAAAAAAGAAAAGTCTCATCTCATTATACTTAGCACAGGTAACAAAAACATTTGGAATACAACTTTGGCTACTGTATCATACTAACGACAATGGATTACCATTGTAAGGCTTTTAAATTTACTAGAATTATACTATGTGATTTTATCACCATAAACTTCTACAGATAGCCTCCTAAAATATATAACTCGCGCATTACACCATACTACCTACCCAGTAAGGTTAAGTAGATTTGTAAAAAAAAGTTAAACAGATAACTTCGAAAATCTTGTCTTTTCACTGTATTCTCTAATTATTGCAATACTATTGTGGTTAGCTCTAATTAACTTTATAATTTTTTGAATGGTGGTATATTAAGAGTTAGGGAGTTAGGGTGGATTGAATTTATCTAAACATAAATGTAGTTGGGGTTTTGTAGAAAAAATTACTCGTGGCATTAAAGTTCAGATTCACCTTTATTTTTGCTTTTTTTTAACCTTTGCAAAGTTCGTTCTGAAATACTCAAATGCTTTTGATTGTTTTGTTTTTTGTTTCCAGTGAAATTTTCATTTTGATTTGGAGTTAAGAAGTGGAATTAAATAAAAGTAAGAAAAATTTAAAGCTTTGTAATTTCGCCGAGTTTAAAAAAAGCAAATTAAATAACAACCAAAAAGTGTGTTAAAAAGCAAAACTAGTTTTCGAACGAAATAAACATTTGACGTTTGATAAACCTTTGCGTGAAGTTTTTCAATATTTTTCTCCTAATTGAAGAATGTTATCAAAATAGATAACGATTATGCGGCAAATTATTTATCTCTCATGCTGGCTATTGTGTTAATTAGTGCTTGATGTTAATTCTGTCATTACTTTAAGTAACCATGCTGCAGTCGTAGAAGAACCGCGTTGTGTTTTTTTTTAATAAAAATTATTTATAATGTTATGAATGTTATGTAACGGGAATTTAGTGATATATATTCGGTAATAATAAATAAGGAAGATGAGGACGGTGGCGTTAATAAGCGGCGGGAAGGACAGTTGTTACAACATGCTCCAGTGCGTCGGTGCCGGGCACACAATCGTAGCACTGGCCAACCTCCAACCACAAAATAAAGGTTACTTTCGTCACGTTAACTAATTTAGACTTGTCACTAGTGCGTATTAAATTGACACTTGATAAATACAGTTTGGGACTGACAAATTTATTGATGAACATAAAAAACCCCCATTTTCAAATTGCTTGTCATTATTTACTTATTTACTTTTATATAAACCAGGTCTAATTTGGATATATTGTGTTATCACAAAGTATATGCCAATGTATCCTACTTGTTTAATATCAGTTACATTCTATATTGTCATAAAACTGTGGCTGTATATAAAAATATTGTTATCAAAATGCAACAAAAATCCTATTTATAAAGGTATAACATATCAAACAAGGAAATGGTGATAGATAAATTGCCTCTATTAAAAACAATAAGGCCAATAAAATTTTTGTGTTTGGTTAAACATTATGCCAATAACAAAGTGATGGGATATAATTACAAAGGAGCCAACAATGTATACAGCAACTGCATTATATAATTGTAGAAGATTTATTATGTGACAATTGATAAAATCATACAACCAGTTAGTTATTTTTATCTCAATATTGCTTGTTATAATCAATCATTAAATTTCAGATGAATTAGACAGTTACATGTATCAAACTGTTGGTCATCAAGGAATAGACTTGTATGCTGAAGCCATGGGGTTGCCATTATATAGGGAAGTAATCTCTGGTGTAGCTGTAGATCAGGGCAAGTATTACAATCCTACAGAGAATGACGAAGTTGAAGATCTCTACAGACTTCTTAAAAGGATTATGGTATGTATGTTTCAGTGTTTGAGTAATACAGTAGATCCTAGATAAGTGAGAAACCTATATATATATATATACCTATAAGGGAGCCATTGTCTGTTCACAATGGACAACCTCCATAAGTGAGAAACTCGGTAATAAGGATACCTCTATAAGTGAGAATCATTTAGATCTTGATTAGGTATAGTGTTTACACATAAAGAGATAAATTAATGTGCTCAACACTGTATTCTATACACTTCAAGACTGTTATCTTAGTCAACTTATGTACTTTCACTTTAATGCAACAGTCATGATGTGTTACAATGACTTTGAAACTGAGTTCAATGTCATTATGTTTGCTTAACAAGAATAATCATTCTTTGTGTTATTTTTATAATATAAGTAAAGATAACTTTCAGTTTGTCACATAACAAATATTTGTTATGTTTTAGGATGATTTAGATATAGAGGCAGTTTCTTGTGGAGCTATTTTATCTGACTACCAAAGAGTGAGAGTGGAAAATGTGTAAGTACCTTAGGAGGCATTCATGTAATGAGAATCATGAATAATAGATATTTAAAAAAATATTTTAAAAATAATTTAAGAGAATAGTTAACTAGTTAAGAGAGAGTTAGTTAAGAGATCATACATACATTCAAATAAAGTATGATAACTATTTATAGATAAAAAGATGTGATAATTTTTTATTTCTTTGATCACTATAGTTCTTTTACTTTTTTTAATTTATAGTTGGTACACTGGTTAATAGATTTCAATAAGAGTAGCACATAAATATATTAACCAAAAATAGGCTACAACATTCATAAATCATAAACTTTTTAATTTTTAGATGTCAAAGGCTTGGTTTAGTGTGTCTCGCGTATTTATGGCGGAGGAATCAGAAGGAACTTCTGCAGGAAATGATAGCTAGTGGCATAGAGGCTATTATCATTAAGGTTCAAAGACATTTTATCATTAATGTCATTGCTCATGTTAACACATTCCATGCCACGATTTTTTTTACCTAACTGAAAATATAGTAATGTTTTGTTCAAGTATGTGGGTTGTTTTACCTGACTGCCAAAGACAGTAATGTTTTTGCGCGTATATTAGTTATTACGAAAGTGGGTTTGTATATATGTAAGTTCCTTTATGACGGCTTAGATTTCATCTGTTTACTTCTGATAGTGTCATAGAATAACAAATTTTATATAGAATCATGAACTTGAGTCGGTGGCATTTAATGTGTTTAAATTTTATTATATGCTTTTATTATTTGATAGTCAACTAATAATTTGTGTTTTAATTGTCTTGACTTGGCACAGGTGGCTGCACTCGGGTTGGACCCTAAAGTACATCTGGGTATGACCTTGAGCGACATTCAGCCACATCTTCTAGTCATGCAGGAAAAATATGGTCTAAATGTATGTGGGGAAGGCGGAGAATATGAAACCTTTACATTGGACTGTCCATTGTTCAGGAAGCGATTGGTTATGTAAGTACTAGCAGTTTAAAAATAGCATACGCCCGCAACTCCGTTTATTCGGAATTAAAAAAAAAAACATAATTAGTGACCTACATCTTATAGACTATGTTCTACATCTATGTCAAATTTCTAACAAAGATCCATTTGTAAATCTGATTTGGAATATTTTTTTTTTTAAATGCAAACCATGATAGTCAACTAATATAAACATGCAAATACATCTATCTAAATTACATAACCTTACATAACGGATCATATTATTGTAAGTTAAATATGTAATTGGAAATGTAAATAAAGGAGTAATTGTTTAAAGGTTAAAAACATTTAAGTCAGAGATAACAAAGGAACAGGATTTATGTCAATACAAATTGCTTGTTTGTTGTTTTTTAATGTGTTAACTATCATTAAGATAATATTGACTTGAAGGCTTCAGATAAAGATACATGATTTATTAAAGTACTGTACATTAAATTTATGTGTTACTGTTGGTTTCCGAGACCAAAATCTCTGTATACAACATATTGTCATCCCTCCGTTTCATCTTTGACAAATCAGAAATAGAATATATATTTTAAACGAGTATTTTGGTCTCAGAATCCCACGGTTAATGATTTTCTTTGGATAATTTTAAAAGATGACTAAAGAATATGTTAGGTTTTGGATATATCAGTTTGTTTTGTATCAATCAATTTTGCATTTATTTTTTTCTTTAACAGAGACGAAAAAGAATTGGTAATACATTCAGAGGATCCCATTGCTTCCGTTGGTTATTTAAATTTGAAGTTGCATCTTGAAACGAAAGAGAATTCCGGTGAACCAACCCAACTACCTCCGACTGTTAAAAACTCTTTAGATTTTGTAAACGATTTAAACGATACTGTATTTAGTGATATAAGCGATATAGAACTCAGCGAATCTGAATTGGAATCTATTGAGAAATTGGAAAAAGGAAAAGACGATGAATTGAATCAATTGCTCACATATTCAAGAGAG